TATGGTCCAATTTTAATACCCAAAATGCAGATCTGGCCAGCACTAAGCTAATCTCAGAGCTAAGGATTGATATACTGCATATATGTCCTTGCGAGGCTCTGGATGCATTCCTGTTATCTATATGAAATAGTGTAAGAGATGATGTAAAATCTGTTTCAGTAAAGATTTGAATTTAAAGTGTGGCTGAATGTAGTCATGCTTTTCTTAGTCTGTAACTGACTATTGTTGTTGACAGTAATCAGCCGATGATGGTTCAAATGAGAGTTACAGACAGAAAACTGAGAACATTTTATTGCACAAATCACTGAAATGCACTGAATATACTCTAAGAAAGTAACTGCGTTTCAGTGTAAGTGTCTGTAGTTAATTCATTTTGTAGAACAGAACCAAGTGACCTACAGGTGAGATACTGTGTACTTGTAATTAAAGTCCACCATTTGGGGGAAAAGTCACACCCCTTCTAGCAGGCTGGCTACACCTCTGATAAAGTAGGGGGAAACTTCTGTCTTTACTTTTTATTACATTAGACTCTAACTGAAGGTCAAATTCTGCAAATTCTGCAGTTTTGATTATAAATATAGATTATAAAAATAATCTATAATGTTATATGTTGTCAGTGTTCCAGTATATAACATATGTAACTTATCATGATATATTTTCAATTATATTATAATTATATTACGTATTTTACATTTTATGGAGGGTGAAGCAAATTCTCACTTACACACATGTGCAACCACACACACTGGTGGGGATAAATTTAACTGACTGCAGTAAGCTGATATGCTGCGTGCACACACACACACACACACACACACACACACACACACACACACACACACACAGAAGACTTTAATTGAATTTGGTTGCAAAATAAGGCTGTGTCTGTGTGCTCTTCTCAAATCTACCAGCATTTTAGTGTAAACACTTTACTGTGTTTGTTTAACTAAACATCATTACAGACACACTGCCCTACAATGTATGTATACTTTCTCTCTCTCTGATTATTCTTGTCTGTTTATGTCTTCGACTCTTAATATTTCATGCTTGCACACTCACCAGTAAACTAAAATGGTATGAAATATGAAGTGAAAAGTTTAATGTTTAAGGCTTAATGTTTAGCCTTTTTCCTCTATAGTGGTTTAATTTAGATTTGAGGAAAATAAACATTATTTTGGACTAGTCTCTTCTCTGACTTCCTGCAATTACAACTTGCCGTAATTATACAGGCCCTGAACGGAAACAAACAACTCACATCAACCCAGGTGAAGCTGCACTAAATAGGGGTATCTAGACACCCCTTCTAATTAGAGAGTTTCAGAAGGAAAGCTAGATGAGCAGGTGTCTACACTCCATTACGAGATCATGAAAAGGGAGCAAACACACATGTAATATTCACAAATTCATCATGAACACTGCATCATTAGGAGTATTTCGTGGCTATTGGGTATCTTTTTTCTTCTAAACTTACCCCTCATCTAAAGATACCTGTAATGAAGATAAACCATAATTACAAACTACAGCAGACAATAATTCTGACCCTACGTCTGATCCTAATCCTAAATCATACCTAATCTTTAGGCAAAAAGATTGAAATGCTTTGCATTTCAGCTTAGAAAGTGCTACACCCTTTGCTGTAGTAAACACAAGCCTGATCCTACAACGGAATACAGCCAAGAATACAAAATACCTGCTTCTGTAGTGTTAACAGTAAAAGACTCTGTCTCTTTTAAAAGCATTTAATCAATCAATCCTCTTTAACCAAAGCTATATTTCACACTATTTCATTAAACAATGGACAAATTGAGTCTCACAGCATTCACTAATATGCTTTATTATCGAGCAGTTAAATAAAAAGAAGTTCGCTATCAAGAAAGAAAATCAGCTGATGAACCTGCATGTGGATGTAAATTAATATTTAATTAATACTCCCACTCAGCAAGTGCGTGAGAAAGTGTGTGTGGTTTGGAATTACAGTAACGCTTGGCATTTGAAAAGTGTAAAAGGACTGGTGACCTCCACACCTGTTTACGTTTAACAGGGTGTGTGTGTGTGTGTGTGTGTGTGTGTGTGTGTTCTTTGGCAATAGACAAGGACTTCTTTGCAACTTTACCCAGCAACTACTCTATTCAGGCCCATACAGGGTGTGCAGACATAAACACAGAGGCCTCATTAGGAAAAAATGACTGACTGTGCCGAGCTGACCAGCACAATGACCTCTCTACACCTGCTGCCCTCTCACATCAGTGTCACAATACCAGGTATATAAATTACCCCTCATTACAAAGCAAAACATATGACCACCACCTCCACACACACATTTGTTTTTATACTTATATTAGACATATGCTGTACATGGACCAAAAGAAACAGCTCAAAATGACTTCTCCTGTAAAGTTATCATTTTGGAGATACGAGATTTTGTTCTGAGAGCAGCGATGCATATTCAAATATACAAATTAATGACAATCATTCAGTTGTTCAGTTTTGGCCTTTTTACCATTTCAGTGAATGTATAAGAGTATTTACTGAAATGTGTTTCATTTAGGACTATTAAACACTACAGTTATGATCCTGAAACATTAAATTAAATGGAAAAAATGAAAAAGTAAGTTCTTTTAGTACATTTGGTACTTTTTCCCAGGGTCACATGGTTCTGTGTGAGACGCAGCATGACAACCATGCGTGTTTGAAAAGTCAAAGCTGTCGTGAGGTGTGTGTTTGGGTGTGTTTGCAGGTGGAGGGACATGAGAACATTGAGTTGTGTGTGGAATGGAGGTGGGAGATTTATTTACAGAGCAATTGACCTAAACATATGTGAGTGTAAGTGTGTATGTGTGCGTGTGAATGTGAATGTGAATGTGAATGTGTGTGTGTACGTGTGCATCTGTGCGTCTGTGCATCTGTGTGTGTGTGTGTTTTTTTTTTTCTGGTCAAAAACATTTTGACCACAACATACAACTGTATTTACAACTGTCTATTGCATATACATGTGTGTACGTGCTGTGTGCACTGTATGCATGTACTGTGAATATGGGTCAGTAATGTGGGTATGCGGGTCAGTCAGTAGTATATAACACTTGCCATGTATAGGTTTTAAAGGGTGCTTGTGTTGCCCTGCTAGACGAGAGAGAGAGAGAGAGAGAGAGAGAGAGAGAGAGAGAGAGAGAGAGAGAGAGAGAGAGAGAGAGAGAGAGAGAAAGAGAGAGAGAGAGAGAGAGAGACAGACAGAGACAGAGAAACAGAGGGAAAGTTTCCGTGATGATAGTCCAGGCCAAGGCTGCTGAGATGTATTTGTCAGTCTAAACACCCCCCACCGCCCCCCCACACAGACTGTGTACAAGTCAGGTGGGCTACACAGACAAGCAAGGACACCCCACATTACCAGTCACACTACAAGGGAAAGAAAGATCATTATCATTATTATTATTATTATTATTATTATTGCTGTTGTTGTCATCAAAGTGTCTTGTTATTAATTCTACCTCTTGTTATTAGTGATAAACAGTTAAACAGTAAAAATGTCCCTTTCTCTGCGTTGGCAGTTTTGTGCTGCAGCCATGCCAGTAAAACTGTCCCAGAGATGCATTAAAGTGGCTCTAAATGTCTGACACCACACCACTCTCAGAGCACGGTGTCTAAACACTTCACTCAGCCCTGTGTATTTTAATAGCCTCTTCACTAGAGCTGATATGACTGCTAGAGGCTGTTAGGCTATTGCCACGACACGAGCACCATTCACCTCAGTAGCTCCTCTGTTTCACTGCTGTTGTTATCAAGCCCTCACTGACATCATGTCCCCTCGCCACCTTAAAAGTGAACAACAGAGACAAATACTTCAATGACGTATGTTACAGTGAGTGTGAGGTTTAGGGTTATTGTTAGGTGTAGGTGTTTATGGTTGAGGTTAAGGTTAGAGTTAGAGGAGTCTATCGTCAGAGTCTAGTACATTTCATAACTCACAGTGGTAATAATCAAGCATAGACTGTTAGGACAGGTTATGTTGAGTTTAGGGTGAGAAATAAAGTGAGTCTTAGATTTAGGGTTTAGTTTTATGGCCAGAGTTGGATTTTTTTTTAAGGCCAGGGCTAGAGTGAATGTTAGTTGTAGGTTTTAGGGTTAGACTGAGTATTAGTTTTAGGTTTTAGGGCTAGACTTAGTGTTAGTTTTAGGTTTTAGTTTTATGGCCAGTGTTAGCTTTAAGTTTTAACATCAGGGCTAGATTAAATGTTAATTTTAGGTTTTAGGGTTGGATTAAGTGTTAGTTTTGGGTTTTGGGGCTAGGGTGAGTGTTAGTATTAGGTTTTGTGGATAGACTGAGTGTTAGTTTTAGGTTTTAGTTTTATGGCCAGTGTTAGATTTAGGTTTTAGCATCAGGGATAGATTGAGTGTTAGTTTTAGGTTTTAGGGTTAGAGTGAGTGTTAGTTTTGGGTTTTGGGGCTAGAGTGAGTGTTAGTATTAGGTTTTGTGGACAGACTGAGTGCTAGTTTTAGGTTTTATTTTTATGGGCAATGTTAGATTTAGGTTTTAACATCAGGGCTAGATTGAATGTTAGTTTTAGATTTTTGGGCTAGAGTGAGTTTAAGTTTTAGGTTTTAGGATTAGAGTTAGAGTGAGTGTTAGATTTAGGGTTTAGGATTAGGTATAGATTTTAGGTTGAGGTTAAGGTAGCATTAGGCTTATATATGATGCTTAGTGTCAACTTTAAGTTTAGGTTTAGGGTTGAAGTTAGGGTTTAGAGTTAGAGTGACTTTTAAGTTTAAATTTAGGCCTTTGGTTGTGGTTAAAGTTAGAGGTCAGTTAAGTTAAGGTCAAATATTTAGTTAAACGTAGGTAAAAGACAAGGTGAGCATCTATTATCTACAGTGGGCCATCAGATTAAAATGTTTCCATGAAAACAAGCCCCCATGATCTTCCTCATAGATGTTTGTCAATCGTGATGAGCGAAAGCAGGGCAAATATAGCTGAGGGGTGTTAAGTGCCCAGGCACGGCACATGTCCACGCTATCAGGTAACTCATTTTGTACTTAGGGGGACAGGGATTAAAAATAGCTCCCCGACCGTGAGGTCCCCCAGCTTTAGGTTAACATGTTCCTCCATCGTACCTCAACAGTTTAATCACCTACTCGGATGTAAGGAAGGTATGTAAGCTGCTTTTGTGCAGGTTCGCTTGAGGAGCTGCAGGGCTAAGACAGAATGCCTGTTGTTTGGCAGGAAGGCCTAGTGAGTGTCTGACTTTGCGGTTTGGCGTCTCTAGAGATATGTTTGTTCTGGCAGGAGTGACTGTTCTTTGCAAGCTCATAAGATTTTATGGCTTTGACATGTAACTGGGTGTCATTAAAGGCAACAGGCCATTGTTACTGCAAATAGAGTGCATTGATGGGTCACTTAAGGCCTGAAAGTAATTTTCTTTACAACAGAGTGTGTTTTCAACTCGAACAGGGCAGTTTAAATAGAGTATGTGATCATGTCACTTCGTACAGTGTGTGTTGATGTGCAATGTTTATGATATGTGTTAAAAAGGGTATTTGTGTGAAAATGTATTTAAACCCATTGGTTGTATTCATTATGAGAGCTATTTAAAAATATGTTTGATTTACTTTTTTGCATAAAATGGAACTGATTATTAGAATGAAAAACAATTTTAAAAATCGGTGCGGGGGTCTTTTTGGGGTATGTTGCCTTGAGGCAACATTGTGGAAAGAAATGATACAGAGCTCATACGCAGTGCAGAATATTTTAATCTAATTATTTGGGACAAAACAGAGTAAATACACAATTTGTTGATCTTTAGATGCTAAAAAATGTAAAATTTGTACACCAAGCAATCATTTAAAAACCACAAATGACAATTAGAAACATTCAAACCAAGTAAATAAATAAATAAATTATGTACTTATACAATATTTAAGATTCTCAAAACAACAACAAAAACACAAAATAATTCTAAATAAAAACTAAACTATAATTACAGTGTTTGCTCAGCTGGCTACTTAAGTGCCATTTCACCTGCTACTGGCTATATCCATTCCACTGTTGCACAATGTTGCTTGTAGGTAACAAACATATTTAAGCATTTTCTCATAACATAAAATGAATTGATATAATACTGTATGTTACGAAAATGAATTTCACACTCCAGCAGATGTGAATCAGATTTTTGATGAATGAAAAATGCTGTTCTGAGGGTAATGGTCCAGTACAGACACGTCATCTACACAATGCGTCATGCCAGAAAAAAAGGTTTAATAATGGCCACCAAATGATGTGGTGAAAGTGTTTTATTGGTTTATTCAAACTCTCTCCTTCATTCTTAACCCATTTAACATTAATAAATATATATTGTGTCACTGTAAAGTGATGAAAATGGGCCATCAAACAGTAGAATTATATTAAAAAAAATTTACTGAGTCACTCTAAGCATGAGTCATTATAATAAGTCCTTCATATTATGTGGAAAAAAAGTGTGTGTGTAAATTTTATGTCTATTTGATAGTTTAATTTTAACTTAAACCAAATCATGCCAGTAAAAAAATACATGAAAAAATAAAAAAGAAAGATTCAGTGTTCAGTTATTTTAATATAGAAGTGACCATATAGCACACTGTAATTTACATACATATAGTCACACTTAAAGTGACTGTTATGTTATTATGACCCATAGTGTCTTATTATACAAACCACACATACAAACACACAAATACACTTGCATACCTTTGAGTTGACATGTGGAACTTCATTATCTACCTGTTTGAATCTTAGCACTGTATATTTGTTTACTCTGGCATTGATTCCATAAAAGCTGCCTTCCTTTTTGCTGTTGTTTATGTATCAATAATTAGAAAGGAGAAAACACAGCCCCCCAAAAATACAAATACAAATAGCGATATTATGATAAATATCTTTATTTTGAAATGGAAAACTATCTTATGCATGCATTAGTTATATTTGGTCTACACTGAATGCTCTTCTGGATGAGTAGTTTGTCATTCTTAATTCAAATCTCTACTTTTCTTTTGCAACATCCAGCTGACATTACATCCACGGTTCTGTGTTGTAATGATGATCTACTTCATGTCTCTGATGTGTTAGCAGTAGCTGTGAATTATTACAGATCCTATATCATTTAAAACTCTTGTTGGGGTCAGTATCAAGATTGTTGTGGGGGAAATCTGACCCCAGGTCATTTGGATTAGGAATGAAGGATGAGATGAGATGGACAGGGGTCAGTGGGAAAGGCTTGTGATAGCTTTCCTGTGGGGAAACAGACAGATCTATCAGCATCATGACAGCTAGAGGGAGATAGTGAGATTGAGTCCGTGTGTGTGTGTGTGTGTGTGTGTGTGTGTGTGTGTGTGTGTGTGTGTGTATGTGTGTGTGTGAGAGACAGAGAGAGAGTCTATGGGTCATATCCATGGTAATTATCTAGGTATTGCATTATGAGGTTCCATTTAGGCCACACAATTAAAATTCCTCCCACTACTTTCACATCTAGTGAATGTATGTGTGAATTTATGCCCAAATGGCGCATCATATTATTCCTGGTGTTTTGATTCTAAAATATTTTGTTGTATATTATTTATGAATGAATTTGACAACATTAAGGTTTTGTCTTGCTGTAACTGCCTCTGAGCGTTTGCTTATTTGGCCATAAAGTCTCATTTAAAGTCAATAATGAATCAGAAATCATCTTTATCCTTCCATGTTGTGACATATTTCTGGGTAAAACACTGTATCAGGGTGGGCCTTGAGCTAGCTGAGCTTGATGATAGGTGGGGGTGGTGGGAAGGAGGGGTGAAACATGATGTTATTGGGTAATATTATTTTCCCCTGCCTGCCTCTGCATTCTGTTGTAGCCAAAAATAATTTTTTGTGAAGAACCCAATTTGAATGAAGTGTTGTGAAGAAAAAAATTCACAGCACTTCATATAAAGATTTTGTGAAAATAGAAATGTTATCTTTTTAATGATGTAACATAGTGAGTCATGCTTAAAATGACCATTTTTGTCCCTAACCAGGTAACCACTCAGGTACATAAGGTCCATTTTGATTAGAGGTTGACTTTAATTGCTTTTGCTTTACTTAATCAAAGGAAGCGAACCAACAGCTGTATCAAAATAAAAAAGCTGATCATTTTAAAAGATACCACCACTTTTCTGTGGTGTTGCTGTATTTATGCTGCATTCTTGTTACAGGTCAAACTGAACTGAAGTCTGTGCAAAGTGTAAATATGAACGGTACCTCAGATACAAGCCTAGAGGAGGAATACATCTTCACAAATGGAAAATGGACAATAGTACTAAAGCCTGTCAGAGTAGCTGGGTAAAGACTAGTCTGCTGTATGGTGTTGCTGTAGCAGTGCTAATAAAGTTAAACTGCTACTAGAAAACAAACTGACATTATATGTTTCTGTTGCTGTGCAGTGGTCAGTTGTCTTTCCAAGACCTTAAAGTGATTACTAACCATTCATAAACTGATGAACTGACTCAGCTGACTAAAACATTGGTGTGCGTCATGTCCAGTGTGTTTGCACATGCTAACTTTCCCTGAAAATGTACCTAGGCAGTACCAGCTGCATTACAAAATCCAACCATAACTAATGGCTTTGATTCTAACCCTGAGTTTTGTATTATAGAGCCAAAATAAGTAAAGCCATAGGCAGGCCCACTCTCACACCCTAGAGAGCACTGAAAAGACACTAGGGCTGTTCTTACTGAATATTCTAGTAATTAAGTCTATTTATTATTATTACTTTGAGAAGTAAACAAAGTTTTAAAACAGCCAAATAATGCATAATACCTATTCCAAAATGTATAGCTGGGAAAAGGTAAACAGGAGAAAGACTTCAAATGGACTCCCGAGTGGGGCAACCATCTAAAGGTTGACCCCGTCATTAATGTTAAACAATGCAGGCTGTGTAATGATATTGCATTAGTGGCAGTTCTAAAAGACGCAGTGGTGCTTCACGTGACTTGGAGGACACACATGCTTGCCTTCATTCAAATCCCTCATATAAGGGCTTAGTGTGGGCTTCCTGAAGTGGATCCCCAGTCAGTCATGAAACCAGGGGCAACCTTGGGGCCCTAACACTGGGACCCACATGTTCTCCCAATTTCACGACTGACCAGGGCCCCACTACGGGCAGCCCACAGTGGGCCTAACTTTTAGCTCACAGTGGCTCCACACTCGACCCACATGGGTTTGTTGAAGGGTCCCAGCGTGGTAGCATTGTGTGATAGAAGACCTAGCTAATGGGTTGAGCTGGGAATGACTAAACTGGAGAGAAAATTGGCTAAAAAAAAACAAACTTTGTAAAAAAAAGTACAAAGAAAAAGATCTATCAGGCTGTTTTTTACTGTATTATAGCAGTAGACACATTTAAATATGCATAACCATCAAACCGCTGACTATTTAGTTTCACTTCACTCAAAAAGTAAATTTTAATCAATTATTTAAATCAAGTAAGTGCATAAACTGTAACAGCCATACAAAGCACATGTTAATATAGGATTCAAACAGATTAGGAAAGTCTTAAAATTCTTCTCTGCTAGTTTTATATTTCAGTTTTACATGTATCTAATCAGCCTGCCCTCCATCACCTTCCCTCTCTTATTCTTTTCAGCAACGGCTGCCCTGCAAGCAGTAGAGAGGAGATGACAGCAGATCAGGTCAGCAAGGGCATGCCAGATGACCTGCTATCCTCAGACACGTGTACCATCCAGCCTCCCCTTGTTGCAGAACCATCTGTGCATGAGGAGCCCAGCCATGCCCTGGACCAACAAGCTCAAACTCTCCATAGTATTTCAGCCACAATGCTGATTCCAAACTTAGATTATATTGCAGAGATTCAGGCCACCAATATGCAAGAGGAGACGGGAAGTGGAAATGTCTTAGATTTAGTTCAACCCCTTGTTCAGACTGTTTCTATGGCGACAAGCAGATTTAATACAGCAGAAGGAGATGAGGTAAACGTTGGGAATCTTGACCTAGCTGATGTGGGACAGGTTGGGAAAGATGGGGCCAGTAATTCAAGTTTTTTTACCCAAACAAGTCAGGAAGTTTCAAAGGATGAAGATATCACAGTGACATCCCAGCCTCCAACTAACCTGTACAGTGATCTTTATGATGTATCAGAAAGCATAACCGGTCACAAAGGAGTTGTGGAAACTGTAATATCTGAGAATGTCGTGTCTCAGGATGATGTGATGGTTCCTGACTGTGTGTCTACTGGCCTATCAGAGAGTCAAAGTTTGTCAAAAACAGTATCTGGCTTGCCAGTGATACCTGAGCATTATGATGATGCTGCTAAGAATGTGACACAGAACTTTGACCAGAATTGCCTTGATCTGACTTATCAAGAGACCAAAGTTCTTGAAAACAGCCAAGCTGGTGACAATATAATCTCAAACAAAAAAGAATCCATGCAAACTGTAGACCAGTCATCGTCAGGGCATCTAAACAGAGAGTCTAGCGCAGTAGGTGACATGTCAGACTCTGACTTTGAGACTGACTGGGAAAGCAAGACCCTTCAGGATGTAATGACAGGGGTTGACAGTGTAGACCAGGGGGAGACTGTGTGTAACACTGACACAGAGAGTGGTGACGTCATACATGCTGACCCAGAAATAAGTGGAATAGTTGGGGAGACTGTATGTAATACCAACCGTGAAATAAGTGGCATTGCACAGGAGACTGCCTGTCATACTGCATCTGAAATAAGTGACTCTACAAAGGGGTCTACTTTTAACTCTGACCCTGAAGTAGGTGAGGAAATGTTTTCTTGTGTCACTTCTATCATACATGAGTCTCCCACAGCATCAATAACTACCAATACTGCAAAGGACCCAATCCCCAACACTGATTCTGAAACAGGTGACATTTTAGTAGAGACTGTTAGTCAAACTACCTCTGAAATAAGTGGTACAACAGGTGAGACTATCGATAATGTTAACTCTGAAGTAAACAACATCATTGAGGAGACCCCTGCTGAAACTGTATGTAATACTAGCTCTGAAAAAGGTTATATCTTTGGAGAGACTGTGTGTAGCCTTGATTCTGAAGTAAGTGGCAATGCAACTAAGACCGCTTGTAACTCCGATTGTGGAATGAAAAACAGTGTAGAAGAGACAAACAATGTGAACCCTGTTCCTGAGGTTCCAGTGACACAGGAGCCTCTGTACAAACTTGTAGTTGAACTGAACAAACCAGACACAGTGTGTGCCACTCCAGTCCTAAGACAGCCAGTTACCCAACCTAGTTCAATGGAACTCACTGACAATAACCTGGACTGCCAAAGCAGCGCGTTGATCTTTGATCAAGCCATTGCTAATCCAAATGCCATGCAAGGAAACAGCTTGGCTGACTCAACTGCTAATTTGTTGGAGAATGTCTTGACTCAGACAACACAGAATCTTGTTACGGAGTCCAAACTGGACATAGTGGTGTCAGAATCTTGTCTGCTAGAAGATCCTGTGCTGGACAGAACTCCAGCACTGATGCTCCACCAGCTGGGGCCAATGGTTTTCAGCAGGACTGACCCAGTGGTGGATAACATGACTGAAAATAACTCTGACACACATCTCCTATTTCCCGGCTTCCTTCACACATCGATTGAAACCCCTCAGATTAGCGAGGAAGCTGGAACAGACCTGCCACTTTTAGATCTTTGTTCCACACCTGCCGCTGTTCAGGAATCAAGCTACAGAGGAATGGAGGATGAACTTTCTAATGACTTATGGATGGATGCTTGCCAGTTTCTTACAATTGAAGAGGACAGGGGGTCTATATATGATGAGTGGGGGCATTCTCCAGACCCTAGTCCTCCCAGAGCCTCTCCAAACAACATAAAGTCCTTGGCCTCCTCTCAGGGCAGGGGAGCTGTGATTGGTCAACTTGGTGATTGGGAACTCCCACCTGTCGAGAGGTGGTCATCCTCAGACAGCTGGGCTAGCGCTCTCTCAGACTGGTTCCAGTCTGTTAGTGTCTTTACGGAAGATCGTCCACTCGCTGCCCCCACGACAAGTAGCAGCAACCCACTTGACTCCCAGCCCCAACCTTGCATGGCTGTCCAGGACACCACAGAGCAACAGAAGGATAGCCCAGAAAGCCCCTCCACCACTGGGCAAGTGTGTCTACCTCCAAGCTCCACAGAAGCAGGGGTAGATGCTCAGAGCAGAAGACTGCCAAGGGATGAGGAAACATTGCTACAGCTGGCAGAAACAGACATGCATCTCCATGCCGGGACTCAGGATTTACCAGGAGAGTCTGTGGACACTCAGGAAGAGAGGAAAATGGAGGTAGAGACTTTGAACCCATCTGGAGCCTGTGTGCCAAATCTGGGATCACATCTGCGAGAGGGTACAGTGGCACCTGTGATGTCTGTGAAGGATTTCACAACTGGAAAACTCACAAACCAGCATATCTCTGGAACTAAGGTAAGGTTTAGCTGTGTTGACTCTATTGGACTGAAATACCTACATGTCAGTAACTCCTTTCGCAGGTATTAGTTTGTTAACTGCTGTTCATAACACTACAGTTTTCATTCTTACAAAACATGAACAGATGTCAAATTCACATTGTGTTTGTGATTAAATATGCTGTAGTCCTAGGATTCAAATCTTCATTAATGTCTAATGAATTTCTACTGAGTAGAGGTACAATCAGGCCAAAAGTGTGGAAGCAAGCAGTGATTTTTTTTTAAGTTTCAAAAATATTTCTTAATTAAGTCAATAATTGCCAGGAGTAAAACAAATATTCAGATATTCAGTCACACTTTTTATCTTAAAAAACATATTTCTGTCCCTAAAAATTTTCAAGCTTTTATATTTGCAGAAGAAGGTTGCTTTTGAACTTTTGGCCTGTGTACATGGTGGCTGTGACCAAAACGAATTTCTAATTTATCATCAGGGTTGACCTATTTTGTTTACTAAAATGCTGTAAAAATGCAAAAAAATTATAAATAAATGTAATTTAGACACTTTCTCATTATCAACCTGTGGCAATATTCACTCGTTGCATAAACAAACCATCATTAGGTGCTTGAGCAAGATTGAAGTTTTCTTTTTATCTGTAGCCATAGACATGAAAAGTGCAGCCACATATGTAGTTCTTGGTCCATGATTTCAGTATATCTACAGTATTTTTTATGTATGAAGACCAGCAGGCAGTCAGCATGTTAGGGTCCTTGTTTTAACTCTACACTGTTAGAAATAAAGGTACTGTTCAGGTACAGTTTTCAATCATCAAGGTACTAACAATGTAAATGTTCCCTCAAAGGTATAACAGTGGTTTTAAGGTTCAATTGTCCACCTTAAATAAGATGAAAACTTAGATACAAATATGTACTTTTCCCAGGTGAAAAGTATATAATTGTAACTTTTCATATCCTGATGTTTTAAAACAGAACACTAAAATAAAAGCCTGAGTCGAGACGGGGTGTGTGGAGTCAATACAACTTAGAAAATATCATTTTGGTGGATTATGGTTCAGTTATGTTCCCTGACTAAAGGTACTGAGATGTACCCTTGAGGGTACCACCCCAGTGATAACAGGGGTACAGCCCCCGTTCTGTTCAGAAAGTGGAGAGAGTCTGGTAAATTTCATTTTATGTATACATTCAGCTGATATAGTGATCTATGGTGTTTACTAGAAATTAGGTGATCGAGTGCCTTGTAGGAGATTGTAATGCCCTCAAAATCACCCTGTAATTCCATTTTATGACTCAGACACTGAGACAATGAGATACTGACTCATTTTGCTCTGATTATCTGTGCTGCCGTGCTACACACTGTGAGGACAAAAGGTGACTCTGAGTTGTTCATCACCTTTAACATTTCATAGCTGTGCCACTCGGCACACTTTAATCTCTGCCCTCATAACTCATCATGATACCTGAGCTATGGGGCGGCGATACAGTCATACCATGCAGAGCATTCTCTCTCTCTCTCTGTGTGTCTGCTACTGTATCTGTATCTCTCTCTCTCTGTTTCTCTCTATCTGTCCTCCTCTCCTTTAACACTCTGCTTTCTCTTTCATTGTCTTCGGCCTCTCTCTGCTGTGTATTACTTATTAACATAAACAAATACAGACTTCATCCAAACACATACAGACACACATCCATTATATCTTTTTTCTTTGTTTTTTCCTAATTGATTTTACTTTCTTTCTCTATTTTCTTCCTTGATTTTGCTTTCTTTCATTCTTTCTCACATTCTTTCTTTTTTTTATCTTTCATTTTCCTTTTTTCTTTCCTATGCTCTTTCTTTCTTTCTTTCTTTCTTTCTTTCTTTCTTTCTTTCTTTCTTCTCATGTTGCTTTCTTTCTTCCTCTATGTTCTTTCTTTCTTTTTCTTTCTCTTTCTTTCTTTCTTTCTTTCTTTCTTTCTTTCTTTCTTTCTCTGTTCATGCAGTTTTTTTTTCTTTTTCTTTGTTGTTCCTCTTTTTGCTTTCTTTCTTTCTTTCTTTCTGCCATGATTTGGTTTAAAGTTCTCTAAACTTGTCTCCTGGGGCTCAGACACCACAAATATGCTATTACATTTTTAAAACACACACACACACACACATTTACACATGATGACATAGATATACTGAGTTGCAATCAGAGAGCCTCAGTGTAAGAATCTAACTGTGACTCACATTAGTTACACACACACCACACACACACACACACACACACGCTGCTCGTCCTGGTTTCTGTCTGTCTTTCACTTTCATGCAGAAGTCGACACACTCACAGACACACACACAGGAGAGTGACAGCGACTGCTGAGGAAACGTGAGGTTCAGAGAGAGAGAGAGAGAGGGAGAGAGAGAGAGAGAGAGAGGGAGAGAGAGAGAGAGAGAGAGAGAGAGAGAGAGAGAGAGAGAGAGAGGGCGGGAAAAAACAGATAAACAGAAATGGAGGCTAATTATAGGGGGCACTAGATGATAACAGCACAAACCAGAGAGCAGCAGGAGGAAGAAGTGATGAGCGTGTGAAAGTGAAGGGAACGTCAGCAGTGCTAGATAATACATTAGTCAGTTACATTAAGTGCAATAACTATATTAATTCGGTTACATACTTATGGATTATAAACATTTTCTTTTATTCATTTGTACATATTTAAGTATTTTCAAATGAAAATACCTCTAATTAAACCCACCACTGTTCAAAAATCACTATTTTAATAATATAAAACCAAAGTTGCTGCATTTATAAAATGATTATAATGATGCTGATATTATAGGCTTGAAATAATTTGTAAGATGCTATAACTGATTTAAACTTAGAATAAGCCATCAGTTTATGTTCTGGTCTATAAATTAATTAACAATAAATTATTATTGAATAACAATTATTTATATGACAATTTCTTTCAAACCAGTGTTGATTTATGAGAGAAGAAATCTATTTTTGACTGCTTTTCAGGTCCAAAATGTCTCAAATGCTTAAAAGCTTACATATTTAGTTTTAGACCAAAAGTGTCCTTTAAAACAAATTAATAGAGTTTAACAAACTACAGCTGCTATGCTGATAGACGCTTGATCTACAGTTCTGCTTTAGTTATATATCTGCAGGAGTTCTGATCTGACGCTCAGGCTATGTTTTTTCTTGCTAGGATACTTTTATGTCAGTTTGAGTTATTATTTTATTCAAGTTACAGTTCTTTTGCTCGAGTGTGAGCTCAGGCTACTCTACACACCTCTGGGTGTCAGAGTGAGCGATACAGCACAGCTGAGAAGTGAAACACGACTCCATCAAAAACTCACACCTCTCTGTCTCCTCACACCAATCCCTCCAAGCCTAGAGCCAGTAAGAGCTCAGTCATTGGCTATAGCACGTTCTGTAGCTCCTGTGATCCTTATAATAGTAACAAACTGCTCCTTTGCCAAACTGTATGTGCCTCACTGACCCCAGCATGAAAGCATGGTGCCTTTAGGATGAGGAGAACGGAATGATTAGAGAAAGGTATGTACCCAAATGGGTTTAACCTCACGTCTTGCTGGCGATACATTCAGTGGACAGTGTCTCCTTAAAATCTGCTGCCAGAGTAGTTATGATGCGTGCATGTCCACAGTGGTCATAGTAAAATAGATCAGCATGTGACATCAGAGCTTTTGGTGTGCTAGTATGTTTTCTATCAGTGTAGAAAAGAAAGCCTGTGCTGCCTTTAGTGTTGGATCCTCCAAAAGGACGGAGTAACAACAAAAGGCATCAGAAGTGTGAAATTTAATCAATCTATTCATTTGTTTATTTGCTCAAAAGGTGGTTTGTAACACAAGATAAACGTTGTTACATGTTCTTTACATATCAAAATAAGTGCAATGACAGCATTGGGACATCGTATTATTAATGGAGACAGTAGATTAACGGAAAAGCTCCTTTTTTTACTTCATCAACCTTGAGATACAATCGTTGAGATGTGAAATGGTTTAATATCCTATCTATAGTTTTGTTTATCTATGTGTAAATACTGTTCTCTGCATAATTTGTGGAACTCGCACTCAAGTTTTTCACTCACCTGTGTCCCTGTACTCTTGTGATGTGACAATAAATCTGATTTGATTTGATTTGATTTGATTTAATGTAAAAAAAACATACTGACTCAAATTGCTTTCAGTGGTGGTGATGGGAATGACTACAACACCAATATGGTCATTTTATTCATTGTCCAAAATGACCAGTAAACTAACACGTGTCTTCAGAGTTTTTATATGTAATGTTGATGATGGTAAAATAGTAAATCTGTAAAAAATGGCACATTTTCTTTGGGGACTATTTTGCCCAACAAAGATCTGCATATTACTGCTGCCAGATCAAAACCTTGTATCTCCAAAATAGTAACTTTACAGAAGAAGGAAAAAACATGCTGTACTTTTAATGTAAGTCAATGGAACCAGACTTTTTTCCACGACATTTTTGGCCATTTATTTTTGTCCGTTCATCATAAAATTTGCACACAATGTAAAGGCCAACAGGTATTTTCAAATCATGTCAAAAACTGAAAAAATGACCAAAATGGAGATACGAGGTTTTCTTCTGACAGCAGTGATATTTATATAGATAACCTAATGTCTCAGGCATCAGGCAGCATAGGGAGCTTTTAGAGGCATTAAACTCTTCAGATGTCTGGCTCCTATCATCACCACTGTGAACAATTCTGACTCTGATTTCAGTTCAGATCAAACCACTCTGAATGAATCTGTTTACATCTGAATGGCTTCATTATGCAGGAATTCAGTGGAATTGCCTTTCAAAGGGTTAAAAGAGATCATATGAATCTTAGATTTATACCTGTTGGCCTCCCTCCAGTTTTCCTAAACATGTTGCAACCTAAATAGTCTTGATGTTTGAGCCATTTATGAATGACCTTTGAGTACCTTCTGACCTTTAGGAATGTTTTTTCCTCTAGCCGGACAGTGACGGAGTCCAGGAAGTGGCAGAAGACAGAACGTTCCGGCTTTCAGCAGACTTCGAGGAGGAAAGTGTGAGGAATTACAGTCCCTTGAGGATCTCGGGTTACCCCAGCGACAAGGATCCTGCGATCGGATGTGCATGTGGCCCTTGTCTTGACACACATGTTCCTCAACTGGACAGACATGTGCCCTCTGAACCAAAACACCTGACACAAGCAGAAGGTGTGGAGACCCCCCACGCTGAAGGGAGTCGGTCACGTGCATGTTTCTACACACAGGATCCAGAAACAACTCAGGGACAGAGTAGATCTGAAGATCCTGAGTTTATTATGCCGTTTGCACCAATCAGCATTGGAACGTCATTCCATCATCCATGTGATTTAAAAGAGGGTCAACCCAGTCCAAAGACATCCACAAAACCATCTCTTGTAGGGAATATCGATGAGATTAGAGGTTGTTTACCAGCCAAGATTGTTGGAAAAGTTACAAGTGGTCAGGAACCCTCAGATGACCAGTTTTGCACGTGCTCTGAGAAAAGCAGTGAGCAGAGTTCTTCAGCTTTTGAGGCTCAGAGGAGTCTTCCTCTCAAGAAACCAAAACTGAGATACAAAAGGCCGGTGACATCAGCCATGAACTTTCCAAGCTAATCTTACTCACAGGCCAGCGATTTATAGTCTCTGAGGAAAAGCGTGTCGCGTATGTAACTCTAGACTTGGATGATGTGAACTTTATTAAGGAGGTGAGTGATCTGAGCTGTGATCAAAGAGCGCCATCCTTTCCGAAACAACATAACTGTGAAGAGCACCCACATATAAAAGACGCTGAGATGCCGCACAGAACCCCAAAGACGTCCTCTGAGGGGAAAACACGCTCCAAGCACAAGGAAAAAATGACCGGTCAACAGCTTGGGACTCCAACCAAGAAGCAAGAGAAAGTGCGGCCAGAAGGCCATGTTGCAAATGAGTCTCTCTCCTCTGAGACCGGGGCAGTCACTGTAATTGAGACCATCGTTATAACAGAGAAGATCACGCCTAAATCTCAGGGGAAGAAGAAGAAGAAGCACGGGATGGCCAAGCCAGAGAGTGAACCCCTGGCTGAAGTAGAGAATGGAGCGAGGCCCAAGGCCACAAAGGCCACCTGTGAAGGTGCGGAGGCAAAGCTAGCACCAAAACCAGGGAAAGTGAAGGAGAAACCAGCACTGCCTCTAATATCTTCAATAAACACTCTCAGCACAGGCAGCCCTGTCAATGACGGCGCAATGAAGTGCAAAGAAACAGAAGCAATCAAAGCCAATGCAGGAATAACCTCATGCGGCCAAGAATCCCAAAGCACAGGCCTTCCCAGAGTGCTGGATGATGACCTCATCAAACGCAGACGCATCTGTGGGGAGAAAAGCGAAGCTGTCCCAGTAAGAACGAGACCACAGTTACCTGCAATATTCCGGCAAAAGAAAGAGGAGGAGGTGGGCTTTAAGAGAGCGTACAGTGACGTTGTCAAACAGAAGATTCAGACACCTAAAGAAGGTACAGAATATGCATTGCCTGTCAAAGGTTTGGGGTTCTTTTATTATTGATCATGTTTTGGTTGTAGGTTTACAATAATTCAAACATATCAAATAGAAAAACTATTTAGATCTTACCGGTGTTCTTCGCAAATGTGCACAATAAGAGCCTTACCTTCGGAATAAAGCCAAATGCCAGACTCCTGTTAAGGGTGTTTAATCCACCTTTAGGCCAAAAGAGTTTAAATATGTGCTTTTAACAATAGTTTATGAACATAAAGCTGTGTGCTGAAGCAAAATATATCAGTATCAGATCAACAAATGGCTGTTTATGTTAACAAAATTAACAATTAACTAAGCATATGTGCTGCTGTGTTGTGTAGTTGTTGCAGTACCCCGTGTGGTAGCTGAGATCCAGGCAGATCCGGTGCCTGATGACCCTCAGAGCATTTCTCTGTGGTGCCAGTTCAGCTCAGTAGCAGCAGACACCTCCATTACCTGGACCAAAGAAGGAAAGGTCCTGTCTGAGAAGAAGAGGGGGTAAGAATGCTAGCCTGTTATTAAGCCCTTTATAAGATTTGATCATGATTATCAAAAGAGCTACACTGCTGGTCAAAACACTAACTTTGTACACTACATTTTTATTTGTATGGGTGGTATAAACTCCAAAGTACTATTAGTTTAGGTGTTATGATATTAAGCTCCAAGGCAGTCTACCTAAATTACACTGAAATGCACAACAGGTTCTAAGCTGTAACTGGGTAAATGTGTAGTACAAACTCCACAGTACCAGTTATGGGACATAAAAGACTGTAAATATATAAAGTGGAAGTCTTACATAGTAGGTACCTGTCTATTACCTGTCTATTACCTGCCTATTACCTGTCTGTATTACCTAAATGAAACTGAATCTGGGCTGTAAAAGAAAGCAGTGCATCTTAATATAGTTTTCTGTCTCTTAATCATTTCCTTAAGAAACTAGCTTTGTACTTTGTGTCATCATTACACACAATATCACTTACTTGGAGTTGTTTTTGTTTCACTGTGCTGCTTAAACATGACACTTCATTATATTCCTTATCAGTTTAATATCTAGAACCTGTTTGTAACTTCAGTTTAAAATAGCTAAAGCCAAAATAATTATACAGCGCTTTAGCGATTAGACCCCGCACTTACTCAGTTAACTCAGTTGGGCATTTGGTAACACTTTATTTGGAGTGGTCTTTTGTAGATGATTAATAAACTCTTAACAGATTATCAGTAACACATTAACAACATATCAGTGACGTGTCAGTAGTGAAGCATCTGAATACACTGAAGTCAATGTCTTGTAGATGTTCTGTTGATACATGACTTACATTAAGTAGATGTATTGTTAATATGTTACTTCTATTACATAAAACCTTACCTTACCAACCTTACCCAAAACCTAACCCTAACCCTGGCCCTAATCCTATCTCGAACCTTAACCTCAACCCAAAACCTAATCCTAACCCTCTTGTTTTTGACATGTTACTAAGAGTCTGTTGAGTGTTTGTTTCTTCTAAAGAGGACCACTCAGAATAAGGTGTCACTGGGCATTTCAGTCTAATTTAGTTGACCTGTTTTGGAGCTTTCCATCATGCAATCCAAAGTAATGATCTGATACTTTCTTTGACTGTTATCAAAAGAAATACGAAGAAGGCTTTTTCACAGCATACACTAGAGTAAGAGTACAAATCTGTGGAATATGTAAATATATAAAATACACAATAAATATATTGTGTTAGTTTGCCTGCAATGTGTGGCCCTGTCACTGATAACAGATAAACTGCCTCAATAGCCAGCTTTTTACCACCCAGGCCTTTATGACCTGCTGAATGTCTGTATGCCATAAACACCATGAGCAAGCACACGGTAATGGAATAAAGTGTGATCTGATACGACAACACTGAAATACTAAAGTCCTAACCAGCAATCACTGCAGCAGTTTTTAATACTGCGGCAGCAAATATCCACCATTAATTCCAATCAATATGTAAACTGCAATTTTATTGTTGTATATTGCGATTGTGATACTCTTTGCAATGTATTAGATACATACTTTAATGAATCAGTAATGTGACATGGTTAAAAATTGGCCTACCTTATTTTGTTGGATTACATGAACACTTTGATACCGAAACACCTACAGAAACACTCATATTGAACTTGCAGTATTGATATTTGCAAAGGCCACTATTCCAATACTGATAAACACAAATGATATATCATTAAGCCCTAATATGTATCCATGCCATACTGAAGAGCCCACTGTCTCTGTGGAATGCCTTTCAGTGCTCTGCCACAAACATGTTTTTAACCACTTGATGGAGCTGTGCTCTGACTTTTCAGTATTGCTCTCACTTTTGGCAGGAGTCTGACTGAACATCAGTTCAGTGGTGATTCAGCCATGACTTAGAGTGGGAGCTGAGTTGACGTTTTACGTAACTGCATGATTCAGATCGTCCAGCTTCTCAGTAGAGCTCAGATGTGAGCTCTATGGACTTTCGTTAAAAAAAAACCTGGATAAGTTCTGCACTCATATGTAATACTGACTTTGGGTGGAATGCGTTGGTGGTAACCTACTTAGGATTTAAAGTTATGGTAACATTCATCTGGACTGGTCCTTCATTCTCAGATAGATTCAAGATATAAGGAGGTCCTTCCAAAAACACTTCTTTATGTACCGAGCGTCCACTTTATTAGAAACTCTTCCCTTGTAGCTCCATCTTACAGTTCAATCAATGACCTTTTTCTGACCACAGAGCCTGGTCTAGAGAGCTGAGCTAGTAGACCATACTCAGCACAGCAGAGACATTGAGATGGTAGTGACATGGTGTTTTACTGGTATATCGGGTACAGTGATGTTTATGGTCACTAGCAGTTCTTTGGTCAGAAAATGACCAGAGATGAATGTGATAGTGCGGTGGCAGATACAGATGGGCTACAGTCTGTACACCTATATAGTGGACCAACAAGGTAGATGGAGTTTTCTTCAGTAAAGAAAATGATTCAATATGGAACCATGAAGAACTGAGGAACCATCATTTTTAAGTGTGCACTTTATTTGCATGTGATAAGCATTTGTAACAGAGTTCTCCTCATCTCTCTCCGTAGAGCGGGTGATGAGAGCCGTGTCACTCTGTCCATTGTGAAAGCCTGCAGTAAGGACTTGGGCATGTACCGCTGTAATCTGACCAGCAGCCTTGGCTCAGTGTCCACTTCAGACTACCATCTCACTTCTGAAGGTAAGATCTGGGGTCAGTCTAGAGTTGTGTCTATTAGGTAGTGACTTCCACTGAGTTTTCAAAATGTATGCATAATTCAATCATTGAAGCAAAGTCAATCAGAGTGGTTAGGTGTGAAATGTTCTATTCTGGAACATTATTCATATAGGTGGTCACAGGACTCAGATGTTTGAATACATCTGAAAGCTGCCTCACACAAAGTTATTACATTAAATACATATGAAAATGTTGCCTGATGTCTGCGACATTGTTATTAAGTTTTACAAAAGAGTTTTGGCCTAAAATGTATTTTGTAAATATATTCATGGTGACGGGGTACATGCAAACTGTCCAGGGTGTTTCCTGTCTTCTACCTGATGAACGCTGGTATAAGGCTCCAGCAACCCCCGGCCCCGTGACCCAGAAGGATAAGCATCTTAGAAGATGGATGGATGTACTATTAACAGCATTACATTTAAATACTCAGAAGACACAAGTTCACTGGTGGTTTTAGATAGTAAATAAAATGACTATATTTGCGTTCTACACATCGAGACCTCTGGTTCCTATCACCACTATTGTAAACAATTCCGAGCCAGTAAGTTTCTCTATGCATCATTTCACATCAAACCACTCTGAATGACTTTGTTTACTTCTCACCAACTGAATCATACAGAATTTTTGAAAATTGGTGGAATTCCCCTTATAAAGTACAAATGTAAATTCTAGGGCAAGAGAAGTTTAGAACCACTGGTCTTGAGAGCTGATCTGGGATGAATTATGTTTTCAGTTTTCTGATGAATTCCAATATAGATCATACAATCCACACATAAGGGGCACAAACTGACCTCAAATTGGCACTTTTGCTCTCAGATGGTCAATACATATGACTTCTGATGTGGGATTATTCACCAGAACCTGCATTCTGTAAATTAGACAGAACCAACTAATCCAAGATCAGACATGAGGAGCCATCAGGCTGTAGAGAAGATCTTAATGAATGTACTGAATGAAATAAATGAACTGATTGTGTCATCTGTCTCTCCTTTTTTGTCCTTCTTGTCTCAGTGCTCATGGAACTTGTCATCCCCAGCCATGACACACCAGGTGGGCCATCGTTTTATTTTGCAGTCATTTAACCCCTACATGGCCAGGACCCACCAACAGGCCCAAAGTTTTATTACACACTTCTATAACCTAAGAATAGCTCAGCAAGTTTGCATCAAAGTCCCCTGTAGTTACTGAATAATAAGCCTTAGTATGTAATAAGCCTGGGATTTGAGGGGTTAAATCCTAAAACTGAGTAAACCTGAATGAAAGCTATATAGCATATGTGAATTTTTGGTATGTTGTATGTTGTTTAACAGCCAAGGCATATTTACCAGGACTTCTCAAATTGATATGAGTAATCCTAAATAGACTTGCTTATGTGGTTTCTGACACTGTATGACATACTGGTATCTATAAAAACAAAAGCACAGACAAAAATAGCATATTTTAAGGGGCTATTTGACATTTTTTTTCCGGTGTTATCCACTTATAATGTTTGTGTTGTTTTATGTACCAAAAACAGTCATGATTTACTTTTACATTACCATTTTTCAACATCTCTTCTATAAACGGGTCTGGATGTTTTTGTCGCTGTGCCTTTTAAGACTAACATATGAAAATGACATCTGTTCCGATTGGCTACCCACTACGGCCTAAAACACTCTTTATAACTTCAATGTGAATGGGTGGAGCTAAACTGCTGTAAGATGACTAGGTGGATATATTTAAATGGTTTGTTTTTCATGACATCACAAAAACATTGAATTCAAAACAGGCTGTTTTTGCAGCTTAGTTTCTATCAGACTTAAACAAAGCAAGGACGTTTGGGTTTTTATTACACGGGCCATTAGCATAGCTGCTGGTAATGTTTATAGCTATCTGGTGTACATTTGTATATTTTTATGGATAACAGTATATCATGAACTAAAAAAGCAAAACTTGGACACCAAACAGTTTTTGACTAATTGGCTACATTGGTGTAAGAGCTACGACTCTGATCATAATCTTGCTGAGAATCCGTGGAACTATTCATGTTTTTCGAGAGTTGTTTTTTCACTAGTGTGGATTAGAATTTAAACTGTTTTCTTTCTCTCTGTCTCAGCTGAGCGCAGGGAGGTGGATGGGGAAGAGGAGGATGTGCAGTGTGCTCCTCTGCTCTTTAGGGATGATATCCTGACTGATCAGTACTTTGGGGAGAACCAGCCTGCCAGCATTGTGACGGAAAAGGCCCACTTCGGGGAGGGAATGCACCGTAAGGCCTTCAGGACCACTCTGCAGGCCGGCATGCTGCCCGTCTTCAACCCTGGACACCCCTGTGTGCTCAAAGTCCACAATGCCATCAGCTATGGGACCAATAACAATGAAGAACTTGTTGAGAAAAACTATAACCTGGCTGTGGAGGTGAGACCCAAATCTATCCTATCAGACCTGGAGAAATTTGGTTTTCATTTAGTTCTGAAAACCAAGGGTGGAGAAGGGGGGTGGTTTGGTCACCATGGTGATTGTATGGGGATACTGTTAGAGTGTGTGTGTGTGTCTGTGTGTATATGTGTTTGTGTATGTTTGTGTGTGTGTGTGTGAGGGTGGACAACATGGACCCTGAAAACTGTGCTGTCTTTCAGTGATTGCTCCTTTTCCTGCTCGTCTCCAGTTGTAAATTTAGGCAATCTTGGTTAAATATTTATCTATCCAGCTAAATTATATTACAGACTTCCTTATATAATCGCTACATTATAGCTGTTATCTAATACAGCTGCATTATATAATTGCTGAAGAATCTGTTTTTTTCGTTTTTCTTTAGGAGTGTCATGTGCAGAACACGGCCAGAGAATACATCAAGGCCTATACAAACGCAGCCAAATCTGCAGAGTCGTTCGGAGAAGTTCCAGAGTGAGTGCAGTGATGCTTTTCCCACTGTTGGAGCCACACAAAAGAATTAGGATTTGTGCTTTTACTGTATTAACTGTGGCTATATTCTGTTCTTATTAAAGCTTTTTAAAGCTTGCAGCCTTAAACATGATGTATAAATGTTTAATACAAATTAAAAAGTCTTTACTTGAGACGTACATCCACACCAAGAACCATTCAGAACCCTTTAGTTTCAACAGAAAGATCACTGTGTGTACTTTCCAGGATCATCCCGATCTACTTGGTCCACCGGCCATCCAATGACATCCCATACGCCACTCTGGAGGAGGAGCTGATTGGAGACTTTGTGAAGTATTCAGTGAAGGACGGGAAGGAGATTAATCTGATGAGGAGGGACTCAGAGGCGGGTCAAAAGTGCTGCGCCTTCCAGCATTGGGTGTACGCTCAGACTGAAGGGAACCTTCTGGTCACTGATATGCAGGGTAAGATCACTTATGGCCCCGCCTCCTACATTCAGAACTGGGAGTGAGGGGATTAGGCTGATGAGTTGAATCAGGTCCATTACACTGTAAGAAGTTTGTTCATCTGAACAGTTGTGCTTTGCAAAATTCATTTTAATAAAAATAGCTAAACTGGTTTTACAACATACATTTTTAGGTTGAACACCAATGTATTTGAACCTAGCCATTATCTTTATTTGTATTTTGTTCTGTCCCACACTAACATTCCACAAGATAAAAAGTTTGTATTAGAGGCACATTTGCACATTATGGCTTTCTGTGATATCAGTATTCCACTAAGGTCACCATGCTCACTGCCAAGTCTCAGTTAGAGGGGTATAAAGCCCCCCCACAACTTGGCTGTGGAACAGTTGAACTGTCTTCTCTGGAGTGATGGGGCTCCATCCAATACCTTTGGGATGAGTTGAAGTGATTCAGAACTGATCATCCAACATCAGTACCTGAGCTCACTAATGCTCATGTGGCTGAATGCAATCAAATCCTCACAGTAATGTTCCAACATCTGTTCTAAAGCCTTTGCAAAAGAGTAGATGGTGTTACTGCAGCAAAGAGGGGACAAACTCCCTATTAAGACACTTGATTTTACAAGAAACACTGGATGAGCAGGTGTCCACAAACTTTTGGACATGTAACGTATGGAATGACTGCACAATAGCAGTGCACTGCACCCCCCTGCACAGCTTAGTTCCAAAACAGTTGGCTCTGATATTGAGATGCTACTGAAGACGTTGATTAGCTAGATCAGATTGTTTGATTTAGTTTGGGGGTGGAGGTGAACTCTATAGGGCAGATCTCCAAGAGCGATATAAGGCAGCAGTGTTTAAACTCATTATTGTCTTCATTTCTGTGCAGGTGTTGGTATGAAACTGACAGATGTTGGTATCGCTACCTGCAGGAAAGGGTGAGTACATATAATAATAATAATAATAATAATAATAATAATGCTGTTATTTTGATCATTTTTACTACATTCAATACTGTGCAAAAGTCAAAGACCACCCTTTATTTATTTAATTTCCAAATATCAAAATTGCCATTAAGTACAAGTTATTACATTTTTCAGGTTATTTCATTATTTCTGAGGAAATTAGATATAAAATAATCCACTTGCACAAGCAAAGAGAAAGTCAAAGCAAAATAAGTGAAAAAAAGGAGTTTTCAAAAGTGGGACTCCTAACAGCCGTGCAAGACCCGGTAGACCACCAAAATGGGCACTTAAAGCTTTCATCTTTGAGAGAGAGGAGAAAATCAAGCTGCTTCAGATCTGAAAACATCCACAAATGTTTCTGTCCATCCTTCCACTGTGAGAAGAGAACTCGGCGCTATGGGTCTGAAAGGATGTGTAGCTGTCCAAGAAGCTGACAAAGAAGCTGTTGCTGTTCTCAGAACAATGGACTGACCACATGTTGAGTCCAGACCTTAACATCACTGAATGCATTTGAAATTTCTTGAATTATGAGAAGCAAAAACTGCAACCAACTTCTAAGACTGAACTTTAGAGGTGTGGAAAAATATCCCTGCAGATTTCTTTGAAAAACTGGAAGCAAGTGTCCAGAAAAGAAATGAAGCTGTGATAAAGGCCAAGAGTGGACACAGTAAATACTGAAAAAAGTTGAGTTTTCTGTGTAATTTTCTGTTGAATATATTTCATAGTTTTCTGCTTTTTTCTGCTCTGAAAATTAACTAAATGTATGGTGGTCTGCATCTTTTGCACAGTACTGTAAAATACAATTACAGTACTGTAAAGTACTGTAAAATAGCAACACCTGACACTGAAGATTTGGAAAAACCATTATTAATAAAATCTCCTCTTTTGTGTGTCCAGCTATAAAGGGTTTAAAGGGAACTGTGCCACATCTTTCATCGACCAGTTCAAGGCTCTGCACCAGTGTAACAGATTCTGTGAGCTGCTGGGTCTACCATCCTTACAGCCCAAACCCAAACGAACGGTGGCCCCACCAAAGCCCAAAGCACAACCTGTGCCCAAGAAAAAGACCTTTGGCCCAGTTCTAAAGGGCAAATCATGATTGGACTGAAGCCCTGAAGGCAGGGCATTATGGGTAAGTGGGGCATTACATTTGCAACGCTGTGAAGCTGCATCAGGGGAGTGATGGAGGCGCAGTGATGCGGGATGCAGAAAGCTTCAGGACACAGTTCTGAGGTGCAACAACTGTGACCACAGTGTTTCACTTGCAAAGGGTTTAGTGGGTCATTGTTAGCTGTGCATGCCAGATTTTTGGGTCACTGAGGTGTGAATATACGTTTTGGTGGTGTACCTGTTTAGTAGGGTGTCATCAGACACAGCCTGAACAATGACTTTTGCAATTTGGTGTATTTTATTGCATCAGTTAGACGTCCTGCATATTATGTTCATGTTTATTTTGGCTTTTGACATGTAATAAGCTGTGATATTTAAAAAAAAACAACTAAAGAAGCTTCCTATAGTTTCTATGTGTACTCTTGTGATACGCACATGAAGCGTTTTGTACTGACAACATGACAGTAAATACTAGTTATCCTGGAAAAACCTGATCAATACTTAAATGTATCTTCAAACCGATCATGTAGTATGATCGTATATTATTTTGACAACTGGAATAAGTGACTCGCATGATTTAACAATATCCTTACTTATTGTACATTGTGCATTAGGAGAATTTCACATTTGTACTGTAAAAGAAAGGTTCTCCTTATTGTTTATATATTTTATCATTCACTCTATATTCATCTTCTAATAGAAGGTGTACATATTTTTGTAATGCCTGCTTAGTGATTTCCCAACCTTTTCTTTTTTACAATACTTGAATTTTTGTTTTATCTTTTTTTTTTTTAGTTCATTTGAGAGCTATTGCAAATGTACTGTGATGCAGAATTTTCATCCCTAGCAGCTTTTTAAAAAGTGTCATTAACCCATTAAAACTATCTTTCTATTATCGATCTTAAGAGTTATTCAGTATGTATTCAGTTGCTACAATAAAGTTTTTGGTACCCTACTCCAAAATGAATATGTAAGTAATGTATTGTGGGTTATTCCATGCTAACTCAACCTGGTCATGTCAAGCCATGTCACGGATTTCCATGAAAAAAAAAATCTATTTGATTTATGTAAGTTTGCAACATTTCGGAACTGTGCACCAAATCATTGAGTAGTTATTCATTTTTAAGGTTTGCCATGGGAGGTTCTGAATTGCCAACAAATTTGTGTACTGACCTGAATTATAACTGAGCATAAATACAACACTAATAATAATAATACTTCACTTTGAATCAACTGAACAAATTCACACAGTTACTGTATTGGGGGCATATTTTTAGGTTGCAGCATAAAATTCTTTGCAATTTGAAGTTACATCATTTGTTTAAAATGATAATTGGCAAAAAATCTCTTTCACAAGCCTTTTTTGGTCCTATATTTTCCTAAACCTATTTCAGGGCAATCATAAAAAAATAAATAAATACAGATGTGCTTTTTCCCCTTTGGTGGTTTAACATTTTTTAAACATACTGTAACAAAAAGGCACAATATAAAGAAGCTATAACAAGCTAAAAATAAAGATAAAATAATGAAATCTGTACACTCTTTAAAAAGATGGCTCTTCAAGGTATCTTTAGTAAAGGAAGTTGTTCTTTACCATTTAAGCATGCAAATTGTTCTTTACTAAAGAACCCTTTTTTAAGAACCATCTTTTTTAAGAGTATGCTTTTTACTGAAAAGTAATACATTGTTCTGTTACTTTTTTTTGAGGGATATATTATGCTTAGAGGTCTTGTATAAGGAACTTATCTTGTTGGCCATCGAAGTTTGGAGTATAGAAAATTTCAATTTTGCAAAAATTATTTGAAAAAAAAATAGCTGAAGAGTTTTATTCATAATCAAAATTAACATGAACAAAGTGATATTATTCTTTGTACTGAATTTTCATGCAGTTAATATTTCAGCTGAGTTCAGTCACTCTGTAACTCAACTAAAAACTATTTGGAGCACAGTTTGGAAGTGTTGCATGGATGCTTGAATTAAATAGAACTGTTTATTGATTTTTTATGATGAGAGCTGCCAGGTCTTTGGTGAACTGCCGAGGAATAAGCCGGTTCTGAGAGAGAGGAGTTGGACCCAGCAGAGCCCCTGTAGTTATGGGGTTAATTTGATGTCGGTTCCAGGCTGCTGGCTGAGAGAGGAAGCTGGAGAAAGGCTGCGAGTGTGGAAATGGCCTCCTGTTGACCTGTTAAGCCAGCTGTCCTCCTGCCTCAGAGAGAATGTAAAGGCCGCAGCCTCCGCCATGTTTCTGTAATCCATCACGAGATGCCTGACCTATTACAGTGTGATATGTACCTTCCACGTGAGATACAATGAGCAGTCGTGGGACGTGATGAGAAGAGGAAAGTGAGTATTTACTGTTTGTACACAATTAATTTTTTTCATAGACACTCTGGAATGGATCCTCTTGCACTGGTCTACCTCTAATCTGTACAGATAGACACAAAGGTCAGAGTCACTGACCTCACGCATATTCTGGCCTGCACGAAAAGCCTGGTCATAACATGGATAGTTTTGAATCTGATTGTTTGAACCACACATATGACTGAACGTTATATTCGGTGTCGATGTTATTAATAACCATTGTGCTGTTCATGGAGTAACTGTCGATCATTGTGTTGCACGACAACCAAAGCGTTCTGTTAATAAACGACATTGTTTGGAGGAAGGATCGTTTACTTTGATTACAATTAGTAATAAATTAACCCCTTAAATTCCCAGGTTTAAAATATATTAAGACCTACAGTCTTACGCAAAAGTATTGGCACCCCTCCTCAAATTACATTATTTGCTGAATTTTATGTATTGGAAAAATACAAAAGCACATTTTATATTTTGTGTTAATTTTTTTTTCCCACTATGCAAATAAACAGAAATTTTTTTAATGAAAATGCCACATTTAAGTTCTCTGTAGAGGATATGTTAACTTATTTCACTTAGAAAAACAATAAAACATATAATGTAACCAGGGGTGTTACATAGAAAACAATGCACAATGGCTGAGTATTCTTAAGATATACAAGTAAGGAAAGGCCTGGATCTGGCCATTTAAGGGGTTAAATTATTTACTGAATATTAGTAAATGTTATCATATTTGTATTTTGCTGCCATTTATAAAGCAATTAGCCACACACGGCCTTCATTACAGTGATTTTACTCCGCTTCACCGTTTAACGATGGTAAAATCACCGTAATGCATGCCCTCTTGTGGCTCATTGCTTTTATGTTTCTTGAGAGTACTATGTTATTTTTTTGTTTTGCAATGTGACAGGCTGTATGTATCAGAGACTGGAAAGAGTCGGCTCGACTGAATGCCAGCCCCTTCCAACCAATCCTGATCTACTTTCTGTATATCAAGTTGCAAGCCTACAGTCATACCAAGCTAAATGGAATGAGAGTCGGGTTGCAGGGAAAATTTCAGCTGGTATGAATTTGGGGAACAGGTCAAGAAATGTAATGGAAGAAATGCTTCGCTGAAGCACTGTGTTGATTCTGTGTAGTGTATATTCTGTTCTTTTGAGCGTTTCATGTACATAAAAACGTTGTTTCCTTCAGAAAAGTACATTAAAACATAAAAAAATACGAGTCCAAGCTTTATTTGAACACAGCCTAAAGGTTACACATGACATTTTGCCCTCTCATTTGATCTCAGGACACATGCAGGTGTTCCCACCAACAAAGTTGCCTAGACACAGTATGACAAGTTAGATTTTCGCTGTCAAAGTGTCAAAACATACCTGCAAGGGTTCTGTTAGTATTAAAGAGCTTGGCGCTAATTATTTGGCCGTATTTATCCTCAACCCTTGGCTTCATTTCCAACATAGAGTGTCTTGGTGTGAAGACCTACTTTTGCCTAATTAATGATTTTACAGTTTTCTTTTCTAAACTATTGTTTCAGTAATAGTTCCACTTACTCCAGATGTAGTTGATCAGTCAAAACATGGTCCAAATTTTGCTTCTTTCATTGAGAACTGCAGCTGCGAACTAACAAGACACTAGAAGTCAATAGTCACCCAAATAGCTCAAATTGTTTCCATAAAAATAGATCCCAACACTCAGTGCCAAATCGTGACTATTAGAGCTAGGCCTTCATTTCAGGCCATAAATGTCGAAACCTGCTAAAAACAAGGGAAAACCCACCTCTATGATAATGCTAACTTCTGCTGATGCCCCTGTAAGACCCTATACGATACTAGTAGTTTGTTAGCACGAAGCTAACAGTAATTCACATGAACATTTTTCAACAGTTCTAGGTTAAACACAGGCAAATTTTATATTCTAAAAGGCATTTCGCTGTTTTGCATTTCTAACAACCCACTGGTTGAGCTGCCACTCAGATTCAAAGCCAGTGACATATCTGGGACTTCCAGAAGGCCTAGAGTGATGTTTTTTCTTTTTTCTCACAAAATTGATTGGAAATCAAAACATGATTGGTTGATTCCTCTGTCATGTCGTAATTATGCTGATGGTTAACCTAATGCATCGACTTCTCTTCAGGTCCTGAAGTGCTGAACGATAAGAAAACTCACTTAGCTTTATCTACATATATACCATGGAGAAAAACAATTCCTGATTGGCCAATTTTCTGGGTATTTCAAGAATTTAACCCTTTTGTTTTCATCCAAACCTTACCAATGAAAAAAAGAGTTGTTCAGTAATATTGGCCGAGTTTAAGAATGAGTCAATGGAACAAAAATGAGCTAAATATCACAGAATTGCATTGTGTTTTGTTTTTTTTTCCAGAATTCTTTTTCCAGTTTTGTTCCCAGAAATCATTAGGCCTTCTCTAGAAGGCCTTGATGGTTCCCCTCTGCCAAAACATCTCTCAACTCACTCAATCTGGTCTTAATGAAGGTTGCTTTTGATGTGGTTTAGGATACAGTATGACTTACTGTCAGCTATAATAATGAATAAAACCTCACCATGTAGCTGACCGCTGCTGGAAGCCCCTTTAGACAACAGGGCCTCTATTCACAAACTTACCTGCATAGGAGTGCTGACCTAAATTCAGTTTCTGTGACAGAGACCACTTATTCATGACTGCTTTGTGAATACCAGTCCTGGTGTTGTTTGAAATGGCTGCCCATAGTGGTGAGGTTTTGCTTATTTTTACAGCTCACAGCAAGTCATGCACATTAACTAATCTGCACAACCTTAATGAAGACCTGGATGTGGATTGAGCAGGTTGAGAGAAGTTTGGTCATGTATTATTACCGAAGCAATTGCATTATTTGGGTGACTACTGACTTCTAGTCTTTGCTAGCTACATTAGCCACACAGCTCCATCTGTGAACAGACTTCAAATGTGTCGTAACTGATTATCTACTTCCGGAGTAAGAAAAGAAGTAGAAATGTGATTTTTTGCCAACTTATTCCTTTACAGCGGCTTAAACAGCTAAAAGGTTTGAGTGCTGATGAGTGCTGACATCACAACAGTGGCATAAATGCATTGCCTTTGGCACAAATTTGGCAGAAATATTTATGTGATATTGTTTTCCTTTCAATAAAACCTGCTTATTCTTTAAAACGTGATGCAACTGCAAACCAACAAAGTAAGTGTCCCCAAACTTTTGATGAGCAGTGTAGATTCAGATTAGGAAACATGGGTCAGTAGTCGTGTCTGCATATGTACAGTGCGTGCCTTCAGCCAGGATTACTGAGCTATTTTAATCACGTAAGAAATACGACAGGGCTGTTGACCTGCCAATCATGCCTTTGCTATCAATATTGGTCACTGAAAGACTGCTTATGTGGACGAATCATTACAAATTCTGACAGAAAAAATAAGTGTCATGCTCAACCTTAACCACACACCACATTTGATCAGTGCTGATTAGCCTTTGCATGCAGTACATACAGCAGTGACAAGACTTTATTTTAGTTATTTTATTTATTTATTTGAAAGCTTTGTAGTTGAACGTATGAGGTGCTGCAGTTCCTATGTCCGGTCCATGTCCTTCTGTCAAGCTGAAGATGAGCTGGTGCCGGACGGTCACTCTGTAGTTATTTAGTGTGATAATGGCGTTTGATTAAACACAACACAAACACCATTGTCACACTCCATAACTCCGGAGGGCAAAGTAATAAACACGTCCTACAGAAAGAAGAGGTGGGGTAGACAAGGGTCTTGAGATAAAAAATATATATAATACATTTAATATTTAAGAAAAAGTGCTTGGCATTTACAAACATTTAATTAGAATAGAAGCTTTACACTTTGTGGGAGCTGGAAAAGGTTTTAACATCCCTTACAAAAATGATTCTTTGAAGAAGCACTCATTGGAAGGTTCTTTAGGAAACCCAGAATGGTTCAAAAAGATCAATTTGGCCCCTTTATTTGTAGTAAAACACAACCGGCTGCCTACCCAGACCAAGATTAAGCCTAAACAAATACCAAATAGCATTTATGTTGATAAAGCACCACTGACATTGCAGTTTAGTTCAAGACTAGGTTTATTTAAAGTCCAATAAATCAGCCCTATTATTCTTGCAGGCAGACAATGTGTCTACAGTTCAAACACCAAGTGACTAATCATTTAAGAACCAACTGTGCTTAAATGAGCATGAATGATTCAGTGCTCTCTCTCTCTCTCTCTCTCTCTCTCTCTCTCTCTCTCTCTCTCTCTCTCTCTCTCTCTCTCTCTCTCTCTCTCTCTCTCTCTCAGCTGTCAGTGTCCTCTATCAGTATTTAAACGTGGCTCTTTCCTGTGTGTAGCTGACCCTCGGCCAGGAGGGGGCAGAAGGCCTGATTTGCAAAGTTAAAATACTGCTAAGATGCTAAACTAATGTTAACATCTTAGCTAATAAAATAGGTAAAATAGGTAAAGTCTATGAATTTCTAAACGTCTGTCATTCTGAACATTGTGGAGTGAAACTGAAGCCAACTAAATCTGCATTGCCTTATGAATGACAGCAGGACATCACAATATATATATATATATATATATATATATATATATATATATATATATATATATATATATATATAATATGTATAGAATTGTCTTATATTGTGTCATAGCAAAACTTCACCCTCCGAAAAAAAGAGAACAATTTAATGTAAGTTCATGATGGAAGATTTTATAAGTAATCATTGGACCAATTCTATTGGACCATTTATCATTTAAAAAGCTGCTGGTGTTTTCAAATTAAGTAAAAACAAAAACTGAAAAAAAAATTAATTACAAGGTTTTAATATGATTTTTGAACACTTTGAATGTTCCTTATCATGTCTGTTAAACATCTATGAGTAGATACTGACTTTTTCACAGACTTCATGAGAACTCTAATGACTCTGCTGAAGATTCAATCAAACTGTACATTTAAAATCTAGATTTAAACTCACCAGTTCAAAGATGGCCGCCATCGAGCATGCTGGTCTCCATGTACGCGTGTGAGCTCACTAAGTGGTAATAATATTCTAATTTACTCATCCACAATCTGAATAAACCATGTGGACGTCCAGTGTCACACAAAATGTTCTAGCACACTGGCACACCGTTACTCTGACCCGAATTCTGCTGTAGCGACAGACGTGTGAGGTACAATCCCACTCTCCAGGCTCCGAGCTTCATGACTGTTTGCTGACTGTGTCCTTCTGGTCAGGCTCCTCTTTATGTGGCCTGAGGGGGTTTAGTCAAACAGTAAATGGAAGTGTGAGATAAGCTCGAAGCGCTATTGATCAGTCGAGACGTGGAGGGGAGGTCACTCACCCAAAACCAGGGCCTTTTGGAAAATAAAAAAAAAAAAAGAATAAATAAATAAAGGACCTTCCTTTTTTTCTGTCAGATTCACACATTCAGAAAACAGTGTGGGGTTCAGTAATAAAGAGTTGGGTCAGTTAGCGTGCACTATTGGCGTGCTAAGTAGCGAACTAAATTAGCTGAGAACAGGAAAAAGGTTTGGACAATGTGACACCATGTGGGGCAAATTAAAATCAAATATATACAATATATATGCTATATAAAAATATAATATACAACACATATGCTATATAAAAATATACATATATGCAATATAAATATATAGGTTGACTTCTTCAAATCTTCATCTTCAAAATCTAGACCTATAATTTTCCATGAACTGAAACCTTACAGCCTGTGTCATCTTAAGGACTGTAGTGTTGAGTAGAAAAGAAAACTAAAAATAGTTCAACAATTTAAAAAAGGGCAAACAAACAAACTGTAGACCTGTTTTAGTCCAGTGAAGTCCAGACTAAAGTCTATTCAGGGTCACTAACAGATTCCTATCATGGTTTTCTGTTTACTGGGATGTGACTGTCAGTCTGTGGGTATGTATTACTTGCTACTGCTTTTCCAGTACCAGACAAAAAAGATGCCTATTACCAGAAAAATACTGTGGAACTGAATACAGTGGGATCTGATTGGCTCGTCTGTCAGCAGAGAGCCCTGCCCACACAGTCAGTCCCTCTAATAAAGCCTTGTATGCAGAGTTAATGCTGATGTTAATTAGTTTGCTAAGCAGTTAACACAAAAACACAGAGATTCTAATACATTTCTTAACTGCAGGCTGTGATTCTGTAATTGCCTAGTAAAAGAAAGGACTGATATCCCTCCAGGAGAAGGCTCGTTCTATAGTGGTAAGCCTGTGGATCCTGAAGACACTGTATCATTAGGAAATTGAGGCAAACTATAAGCCAATTTCATCACAGAAGGCGGTACATTACCAGCCAAAGCCAGGACAAGAGGTGGAACATTAATAAACCAGCACAGGCAGAGGAACATTGTTAGCCAAACCCAGCATAGGAGGAGGAACAGTGTTAGCCAAACCCAGCATAGGAGGAGGAACAGTGTTAGCCAAACCAGAAAATGAGGAGGAACTTTGCTAGCCAGAGCTAGTATATGAGGCAGGATATTATTAGCCAAACCCAGCAGAGAAAGAGCAACATTATTAGCCAAACCAGCAGAGGAGGAGGAACCTTGTTTGCCAAACTCAGCACAGGAGGAGGAACTTTGTTTGCCAAACCAGAAAATGAGGATGAACATTGCTAGCCAGGGCTAGTACATGAGGCAGGACACTACTAGCCAAACCCAGCAGAGGAAGAGGAACGGTGCTAGCCTGAACTAGTAAATGAGGCGGCACATTACTAGGCAAACCCGGCAGAGGAGGAGGAACGTTGTTAGCCAAACCCAGCAGAGGAGGAGGAATGTTGTTAGCCAAACCCGGCAGAGGAGGAGGAATGTTGTTAGTCAAACCCAGCAGAGGAGAAGGAACATTGTTAGCCAAACCCAGCAGAGGAGGAGCAACGCTGTTAGCCAAACCCACTATATGAGGCAGGACATTACAAGCCAAACCCAGCAGAACAGGCGGAACGTTATGAGTCAAACCCATTACAGCAGGTGGGATAATATCAATCAGACCCAGTACACAAGGCGGGTCATTACTGTCCAATCTCAGCAAAGAAGGCCAGACATTGTTAGCCAAACTCAGCAGAGGAGACGGGACATTGTTAGTCAAATCCAGCAAACAAGATGGGATAGTGTTCATCATACACAGCAGAGGAGACAGGACACAGTTAGTCAAATCCAGCACTGGAGGCGGGACACAGTTAGTCAAACCCAGCACTGGAGGCGGGACACAGTTAGTCAAACCCAGTACTGGAGGCGGGACATTACTAGCCAATCCCAGCAAAGGAGGCGCTAGCCAAATCCAGTGAAAATCACCTATGCTGGCCAATTCCAGCACAAGAGGTAGAGATTTCAGGCCAAACCTAACAAAGGGGGTGTGGCACTAATAGCCAAGCTCAAGAAGGGCAGCGCTTGTCTGAATGCAGGTGGGCTTTTTCTTAGAATCCACGTGTTTTGGAGCTGCATGTTTGCTCGTCCTTGAGGCTGATAAGCTCCTGATGAACCATGTTCCCTTCACCATGCAGCCAGGTCGGAATGCGGGAAACAGTCTTCCTTAGCATAGAAGAGGAACAACTACCAAAAAAGAAAAAAGAAAAAAAAAACAAACAAACAGAAAAACTGAATACATTCCATTTTCTGCTTTAGGACCTGATCACATTACACACATTCTTAATGATACATTAATGAGACGTTATAGTTTTACTGGTATCATTAGCGCTTAACATTGTGCAACTCTGCTCTGGCCCACTGTGTACAGTGAAAACACTCTGAGGCCTTGAACTAGATCAAAAGCTGAATTGGGCCAGACTTAACCTGCTGCAATCTGCAGAAAGGTCGTATCAACAAGCGTTTTACATGAAATAGAACCGTCTGCTAGGAGAAATCTCCCCCCACTCCCAAACCTGTGCTGATACCCTGGCTTTGCCCTTGTTTACCTGGCCTCTGGCCTACTTGGAGCCAGCCAACCGGTCGAACGTGGAGTGCAGTACATCTCAACCTGACGTTGTGGAGCAATGACCAGCCTTAAGCTTCAGTCCAGAGTCAATAAGAGTTTCCAAACATTTGTGGGCTTGAGCTGTAACTGGAAATCAGACAGGCTGTCCTAAGAAAGTGAGCATGTGGCTCAATGATGCGATACTTTTGACTAATAATTTTTACTATATATATATTTTTTTTTAATAATATTAATGGTATATATTTGAAATGGTAAACACGTCTCTTCTACGAAGGTCTCCTTTTAAATTGCTCATTTAAATTTTGGCTAAAAGTGTATTGTATAACCAAAACCACAACACACTTTTACATAACGACTGTAACAAAAAACAACACTGTCCTTCAATAGCTGACAATCTTCTGAAAATATTTATTAACTAGTATGACATAATTGCACTATGAAAAGTGAAAGACCACTTTTTATTTATTTAATTTCCAGTCAAAATGAGCATTATTTACAAGTTATTCATTTTCAGGAGATATTTTTCAAGGAGATTACATACGAGTTCAAAAATGATTTATTGTTACAGAGAAAATGGGACTCCTAACAACCATGCAAGGCTGGTAGACACCAAAACTGTCCCCATCAGATGAACACTATTAGCTTTCATCTTTGAGAGAGAGGAGAAAATCAAGCTGCTTCAGATCTGAAAACATCCACAGGTGTTTCTGTCCATCCTTCCACTGTGAGAAGACAACTCAGCGCTATGGGTCTGAAAGGATGTGTAGCTGTCAAGAAGAACCTCACTGAGAAAAGGAGACACATCAAACGAAGAAGCTGCTGGTGTTCTCAGAACAATGGACTGACCGCCCCAGAGTCCAGACCTCAACTTCACTCAATGTAGAATAACTTGGTTGGTGAGAAGCAGAAAGTCTAACCAACTTCTAAGACTCAACGTTTGGGGTGTGGAGAAATATCACTAAAGATTTCTTTGAAAAACTGAAAACAAGTGTCTTGAAAAGAACGGAAGCTATAATAAAGATGAGTGGACACACTAAATACTGAAAAAAGTTGATATTATATTCAGTTGTTGAGGCTTCTGTGCAATTTTTGCTTCTTATGCATGATAACAAGCAGTGGAACTAGTTTTATTTAACTCAAAAAATTACACTGATTAAAAGAATCTGTCATTCAAAGTAATTGATGTTATGTAATTGATGATGAAATGATTTAATTAAACTAGTTTAACTGCTTGTTAATACATGCAGTAATTTCTTTAGGTTGATCTGACGAGCCATTTTTTACAGTGTATGTTACAAAACAGACTCAGTGACCCTTTTAGAGAAAGGACACAGGTTTTGTATGACCTCACAAATAATTTCATGATGTAATTTGATGGTGATTTGATTCCTTAGAATTCTAATATTACTACAAATTTAATATCATCCCACCCTCCAAAAAAGGAAAGTTCTTCCAGGGTTCTTTAGCAAAGACAATGATTCTATAGAGAACCATGAACACTCGAAGAACATTTTGCATGCTTAAAAGGTTCTTCCGATTGATGGAGAATGTGTTGTATGTGGTTCTATATAGCACCAAAAAGGGTTGTTCTATTGTTGCGATGTCAAGCATGTAATAATAGAACACTTTTCAAAACGGTTCTGTATAGAACCACATACAACACACTGTCCATCAATCTGAAGCATGTCATTTAAGCATGCAAATGGTTCTTTGAGTATTAATGTATTAAGCTATCTTTTCAAAAGAACCCTTGAAGAACGTTTTGAGAGCGTATGTCTATGTAATCCTAGGTAAGCAGGCCACGTTTTATATTTGATTTTTCCCCCATTATATTAAATTCAGCAAATAAACAGTAACTGTGTTAAAATGTACAACAGTGTGTTCTCTGTGGTGGATTTCTAACTTATGTCCACTTACAAAATTAAAATGTAATTCCATAGGGGTGCCCAAACTTTTGCCCTGTTCAGCTAGTATGTAGCACTTACACTGATCAGGCATAACATTATATCATTACAACATTATATCCTTGTTTCTATGGTCATTGTCCATTTAATCAGTTCCACTTACTATATAGGTGCACTTTGTAGTTCTACAGTTACAGACTGTAGTCCATCTGTTTCTCTGCATACTGCTGTGTCTGATCCACTCAGACTAGCGCAACACACACTAACACACCACCACCACATCAGTGTTACTGCAGTGCTGAGAATGATCCATCACCCAAATAGTACCTGCTCTGTGAGGGTCCATGGGGGTACTGACCACTGAAGAACAGGGTAACAGAGGGCTGACAAAGTATGCAGAGAAACAGATGGACTACAGTCTGTAACTGTAGAACTACAAAGTGCACCTATATAGTAAGTGGAGCTGATAAAATGGACAATGAGTGTAGAAACAAGGAAACAAGGGCCATAATGTTATGCCTGATCGGTGCATCATGAGTATTTTAATAGTGGTAAGACAGTTTGACAGTGTTACAGAGTCAGAGTGCCCAAATTTAATAGTGTCAATTTCCAGCAGTCTGTGAGCTGATTTTTCTAATCAGCTATAAAAGAGGGGTTTCTAATAAAGTGCCCACAGTGTGTATACTGGGGTTCGAACAGTCATTCCACCAATAGTTATAGCTATTGGTCCCATCATAATACTTGAAAGGATACATGCACAGAATATAAAAATTATTCAAAGCTTTGTCATTTTCTGACTGGCTAATATGTGTCCTGTATTGGTGACATTTGATTTCCTTACTGTGATGCTGACAGGAACCAGTGGTCACAATGTCCACAATACAAAAATAGCCCCAAAATGACCAGTGAACCTACACAAGGTTTTTGTATGCAATGTTTACAATGATAAAATAGTCACACCTGAAAAAAGTTTTCTCCAAGGACTATTTTGTATGGAGCCCCGCTGGTGACATCCTGTATAGATAAAAATAATGCGTGGCCACGACTTAGTAAGGTGTTGGAACAAGATCCTAATGCATGGCCACGACTTAGTAAGGTGTGATCTCATTCCTGTGCCTTACTACGTTGTGCCACGACTTATTCCCATGATGCATTAGGATCTTGTTCCCACACATTAATAAGGCGGCCTTACAATGCCCTGCATGTACCTCCACTGTAAATGGTGTTTTAAAAAGTAGGTTTGATGCCAAAACCTTCTCAAAAATATATAAAACAGTGTCTTAGTTTATGTACATCTATTTCATTTAACTATTTCTTTTTCATATAAGTTATATTTTCATATAACTTTTCTATTTCGTTAGAACATTTTGGAACACATCAGACGTCCGGTTCCCATCACCACCACTGTGAACAATTCTGACTCTCTGGAAAGGAGCACTTCACATCAGACCACTCTGATGGACTCAAATGATTTAATTATGCAGATATTTAGAAAAAACTGGTGGAATTCTCATTTAAAATAAGCTAAAATTTTACAATCAAAAGGACCACATTGTTATATAACTTATTAAAAACTCTTCATTCTGAGCACAAACTGGAACACAAGTGGGATTCGAAACAAATAAAGACAGCTGGAGTTTGCATTCGTCAGTTTAATTTGAACCAAGTTATACGAATCGCAAGGGCTCGTGGGATGAGGAATCAAAACAAGGCGAACAATCCCCCATCAATTAAAAAAAACAAAAAAACAACAGCCCCCTACAAAAAGAGAGAGGAAAATAACGACAAGAGCAGTAAGAAGAAGAATTTCACAAAATCTATTGCGCCACGGTTGGGAACAGCGTGGCGGGTAAGAGAAAAAGAGAAAGAGGAGAGAGAACCAGTAAGAAAAGAAGCAGTCTGAAGTGTCACTCTGAGAAAAACCTGGCCTACATGCACAGATCCAGAGTGTCCGAAACTGACCCCGGAACAGCCATCCTGACGGCCAGTTTTAGCATCGCCTGAAAGCCTCGCTCCACGACCGAGTGTTCTGTATGTTAGCAGCAGGCAGAGAACAGACTGTAGATATTGCACAGAGTATTCGAGTGCTCTGAACAGAAAAACAATATAGCAAAGTCACATTCAAGTTAATAATAAAAGACAAACGTCAACCCCACGACCCTCGTGAGTGACTGTTAAAGTGCCCTTATAGGTTCAGTGGTGTTTAGAATGGAAAAGGGGGGGAAAAATGAGGGAAGAGAGAAAGAAAGCAAGGATGTAAAGAAATGAAAGAAAGTGATAGAAGAGTGTTGTGTACTAAAAGAGTCTGCAGCACTTTCATTTCTCAGTCAGAACGTTCACATCTTCAACCTTTCATTCATGTTAATACTTACAGAAGCTTTAATACATACAGTGACAGAAGTAAAAGTTTGCCCCCCCAAAAAAACAAAACAAACTAATTTACAGCATTATATAAGTATAATAACGATAATAACAATAATATTAATAATACAATTGTGAAAACCGAACTCATTTACATGTCTTATTGGTCTTCCCCCTTTTCTCCAGGGTTCGAGCAGGAAGAGTGAGTAGCTCCATAATTACTACGTAATCATATCAAAAACACAGATACATGTTCATGCCAGTTTTGTTTAGCACTACAACAGCCAAGTTGATCATGTTTTTCAATTATATTAAATGATATTTATTCTGTTACGGCCTGGCCAGATCAAGAATGATATTTTTTCTTTTTTTCTAAAACTGTAAACCACGTCATCGGTACAAATATCGGCAAACTCTGCGAGAAGCATGATAATATAATCATAATAATAAACAATGATCAGAATAAAAATTTAAAAATGATTATGAACATCCTTTTCCTTCTTGGCTTTGCAAAAGATTAAAAAAAAAACAAAACAAAGAAAGTAATCCTTGCGGAAGGAGTGAAGAGGAGGAGCGAGGATGAGGAGTTGCTCTTCGTCCTGTGATTGGCTCTTGTTTTTCCTAAGGTAATCTGGTGGTTAGACCTGATAGGGGTGACTGAAGCTCCCTGTTGGCTGCATTTAAACTAACCGTAGCTTTTATTAAAAGACAAAATGAAAAAGTCTGTTTGTTTTTTTTTTTCTTCTTCTCAAGGCCATGCTCCTCTGAGGCGAGTACAGAGAGAAATATAGAAATATATCTGAGAAAGTCTCTGCCTCTGATAGGGAGAGAGAGTGCAGGAGAAAGAGAGAGAGTAGCAAAAAATAAAAAAAACCATGAGAAAAGTGTGATAAAGAAAAAAGTGAGAGTGATAAAGAAAGAAATGTAAAAGAAAAACAGAAATAAAAGAGAAAACTCGGGAGTGAGAAGAGAAAAACAGCATGAACAAGAGAAGGAAAAGAAAAGGAGAAGAAAGAGAGAGACAGAGAGAGTAAAAGAAAAATAGAAGAACGAGACAGAAAGGAAATAGAAATAGAGAAAACAAGAAAAAAGATGAACTGACATTAAAAATGCACAAAAAAAGAAAGAAAGAAAAAAGAATGAGAGAGTGATACAGGTAGACAGAAAGATAGAGACAGAGAGTAAGAGAAGAAAGCACCAGAAAGAGACAGCATGAGCCAAAAATAAGAATAAGAGACAGAGAGAGAGAGAGAGAGAGAGAGAGAGAGAGAGAGAGAAAGAGACAGAGAAAGAGAGAGAGAGAAAGAGAGAGAGAGAGAGAGAGAGAGAGAGAGAGAGAGAGAGAGAGAGAGAGAGCAGTATTAAAGGACTCTGCTGAGTGCTCTATCGTCTACTGAAAGTCTCTGTGCGTCTCTATGCGAGTCCACACTGGCTCCTCGGCACACGGACACATGCATTACTGTTGTGATTATGCTGCTTCAGGCGCTTGGGTTCGGCCATACGACGGCAGCGTGTGTGTGTGTGTGTGTGTGTGTGTGTGTGTGTTGTGTACAGTCTGTGTTGGCAGATTGGATGTTTTCGTGGCCATCCCTCTAGTCCACTCCCTCAAAGCCCTGGGCGTTCTCCACTGCCAACAGCAGCTTCTCCCTCAGGTCATCAAACGACTCATAGGCCGGCAGGTCCAGTCGGTTAAAGCTGTGGAGAATAAACAAGCAAAAGAAAAAGAAACAGGACAAAGGGGTTCAAGAGATGCCAAAAATCTGATTTACACAATTCCACCCCTGCCCCCTTAGCCAGGCCTAGACTACATGATTTGTAACCCTGATTGCCCCTTCTGACAATTTATCAGTCGTGATTTTCCAGGCTAGGAGCTCCGACTGAGCTCTGGAGTGATCAGAGACCTTCAGATATTTTCAAACATATTTGATTTTGACAACTCAGTTCTGTAGTGTGAGATGGTCAGCAATTTAACACGAGTGATTCAGGCGACAGCCAATGAGAGAGCAAGAATGCTGAGATCTGGGGTTTCGAGTGCTGTTTTAATTGCCTTTTTGGCAGCTACCCCACTTGCTAGTTGGCTTACAGGAAACAATATACTGCCCTGTTCTGTGCAGCACACTCACCAAAATCTCTACATTTACACTCACGTGTAGCGTCCATGATCACAAATTCTGGTAACACTTTATTTGGAGTGGTCCTTTGTAGATGATTAATAAACTCTTAACAGATTATCAGTAACACATCAACAGCATATCAGTGCAGTAGCAGTAGTGACGCATCTCAATACATTGAAGTAAATATCTTGTAGATGTTCTGTTGATACATTACTTACATTAAGTAGATGTATTGTTAATATGTTACTTCCATTATGCAAAACCTAACCTACCCAACACCAAATCCTCACCCTCATATGTTGTTGATAAATCACTGAGAGTCCGTTGAGTGTTTGTTTCATCTCAAAGGACCACTTAAAATAAAGTGTAACCAATTTCTTTCTCTTGAGAGTGAGAACTGACACATTAGCATTCTGACTCATGATAGCTTAACACAGTTGTGCTGAAATGAAATGACAGGGTGCTTTAATAGTTTAACAGTGTGTGCAATCGCACAAATGTCTATAATTATGCAGAATCGTGTGTAGAATCAAACAAAGCTTTTAATTAACTATTTTCCCCTGATTGGCTTATTTCACCTTAACTTCATAAAACATTTTAGTTCACACTCTGGTGCTCTTATTGGTGATGTATCTTGTGGTGGCTTTCGTTATCCTCACTTGGAAGAGTAAAGAATTTGCTGAATTGTTATTCGATTCAGCTGCAAGTGATAGTGAAACAGAGGAGAAGACCCCGGAGTACCTGATAGGTCTTGTTAGTGCCAATCTTGAGCATAAAAAAAACACTGGAGCCTCAGGTACCGGGCCGATGGCCACTGGTAAAACCACAGTTCCAGTTTTCTAGTGCCAAAGGTTCCAGTGGAAAAATGCCCACACTGTTATCTCCGAAAATGAACTGCTGCAATCCTGAGGCCTCAGTTAGGTCTGTATTGTTTGTCCTCGTCACTGAATTCAGGACTGAAGCTGCCCTGGTTTAGAGTCCAACTTGAGAGGAACTCACCATGTGTGAGCGCGGGGCAGTTTGTCTGGCGTCCCCCACTGCTCGATGGTAAACAGCTGCGGCCCATTTGAACCTACAACACACGGCGTGACAAATAGAATCTTTTACAAAAGACAGAGAAAAGCAAACAAGGCTTGCAAGGGCATATTTATTTTTTAATTTAAAAACATACATAACTCTATCATCATCTCATTTTGACGCAAATGCAACAACTGACGCACAGAAAGGTGAAGGGCAGGCAGAGCCTCTCTATAACAGGCACATAAACAGAAACCACCCATTCATTGTATAATGTATTGAATTACGTACTAACCAGGATATATGTAATGTATTTTTAAAAAGAATTCTGAATCATACCGAAACAATCAAATTTGTGGTGAAATTTGACATTTCATGATGTACTGAAAGGTTTCCTAAAGGTTCACAATCAAATACAATCTTTGTGAGCTTAGAGATTTAGAAACCCTAGTGTGCATGTGCGCACTGTTGTCTCACCGTAGAGCTCAGCGAAGCCGTTCATGGGCACTCTGGACGTTCCTGTGACGAACTGTAGCAAACGAATCCTCTTCTCAGCATCCATCAATAACACAGCCTACAAAGATAATTACAGATAATAAAATTTGTGCCTGTCATAGGAAGTAATAACAGCAAAGTGGTGATGTTAAATTATAACTTAACAGTTATGAAACAGTTTAAAACCTTGTATAGTTTTTGACATAATTTGAAAATACTTGTTTCCCTTCACATTGTGTATAAATTTTGTGATGAATGGACCAAAAGAAACGGTCCAAAATGACTTGGAAAAAACTCTGGTTCCATCGACTTACATTGAAAGTAAGGTATGTTTTTTTCCTTTTCCTTTTCTTCCAACAGCAGCGATATGCATTATGCATAGATATGCATTATGTCTATTTTTTTTTAGTTATTTATTTATTTTTAACAACTAAAACGGTTTAACCATTACTTTTTGCTTACTTAATTAAACTGAGTTTAGGGTCTAGAAAATCCTTATCACATATAGTATATAACACATGTGGAACATACTATCATTATTATGGCGTGGGTGGTATAGCGTAGTGGGTAACATCTCTGCCTTCCACGCTGTAGGCTGGGGTTCAATCCCTGTCTGGGCAAACACCCTACACTTTACCAATAAGAGTCCTTGGGCAAGACTCCTAACACTACCCTCGCCTACCTGTGTAAAAATGATCAAATTGTAAGTTATTATTATATAATAATTATATAAACACCTTAGACACACTATTTGGCCAAAAGTGTCCAGATACCTCTTCTAATTTGTAAATTCAGTTGCTTTAAGGTGCACCTATTGTGTGTAACCACATACACAGTTTGTATAATTTCCACAGAGAAGCATTGCAAATAGCGGCCACACATGAGCCTGAGGTCACCATGCCCAATGTCAAGCGTGTCAAACCCCCCTCCCCCAACACTGGACTGTGGAGCAGTGGAGCACTGGAACTGTGTTCTCTAGAGTGATGGAGCTCCATCCAGTACCTCTGGGATGAGCTGGAGTTCCAGAACTGACCATCCAACATCAGCTAATGCTCATGACCTCACTAATGCTTTTGTGGCAGAATGCAATTAAATCCTCACAGCAACGTTCCACCATTTAATGCTAAATTAAGCTATCACAAAAGAGTAGAGGATGGTAACATATTATATATATATATATATATATATATATATATATATATATATATATATATATATATATATATACACACAAAACCCTGTATCTCTTTTTTTGTTTTTATTTTGTAACATAATTTGAAAATAGCAGCTGCCCTTTACAAAGCATGATGACTGGACCAATACACTCAACGTCATTGTTCAGTATTTAGTGTGTCCACTCTTTGCCTATATTACAGCTTCCACTCTTTTCCGGAGACTTGCTTCCAGTTTTTCAAATAAATCTACAGGAATATTTTTCCAAAGTTGGTTGCATTTTCTGCTCCAATCCAAATAATCTGTGACATTGAGGTCTGGACTCTGGGGTGGTCAGTCCATTTGACTTATTTTCTCCTCCCTTAAGCGAGTGCAAGTAGATTATCTTATATCTAATCTCCTCAGAAATATCTCCTAAAAAAGAAATAACTTGTAAAACTGGCTGTTTTGACACAAACACACACACACACACTTCACATCCCAACACGTCTAAAAACAGAAACACACACACACATATATATATATATATGTAATATATGTATATATGTGTGTGTGTGTGTGTGTGTGTGTGTGTGTGTGTGTGTGTGTGTGTGTGTGTGTGTGTGTGTGTGTGTGTGTATGTGTGCACACCGTGTCTCCAGTCTGCTGATAAGGCAGTTCTGATGTGCTCAGTGGCTCTTTCATCAGAGCAAACACAGCATGAGCATCACATCAAAAAGACTTTGATCTACAGAGTGTGCCTGTCCCGTACAGAACAGCACACACACACAGAGACACTCGCTCACATGCACATGCACACGCACTCCTGAAATGGGTCACACTAACTTTAATCCACCAGTCACTCTCTTGCTCTCCCTGAGTCAATCAAGCAAGAGCAATCACGGCTCCAAAAGAATAACACACAAGCAATCTCTGCTTACCTTCCAGAACCACTGAATGACCGGGTGATTTGGGCAGTAGCCATTCTTATAGACAGTGTGCTGCCTCCAGTCGTTAACATCTACATCCCCCAGACCACACATCAGCAGCTGCAGACAAATACAAACAGCATAACTGGACTCTAAGCTTATAATTCAGTATACAGTATTATTCAGTATTCAGTCTTAAAGGGCTCATCTTAATTCTTAATTTTTTTAAATGTAAGTTTGATGCAGCATGTAAACTTTGATAAGGTTTCAAAACATACCATTCACTTCCCGTATAACATACTATTCACTTTCAATATATGGAAAATAAGCTGCAAAACAGCCCGTTTTGAACTTACTGTTTTTGTGATGACACAAAAACTGACAGATTTAAACAGATCAGCCTTTTCAGCCTATAGCAGTTTAGCCCTGTCCATTCACATTGAAGCTATAAGCAGTGGACTGTTCTTTGAACGAGGCTCCTGAGTTATAAATAGCATTTTTCACAAATTCATATTACAGGAGCAACCTGAAAACTAAACTGACCTTGGTCATATTGAGCATAATTCATCATACCATTTAAACGATTTTTTGACTCTTGTGTATTCATAATTGTGTATCCCTGATATGGTGTTTCACTCAGAAAACATCAGGGTTTGGAAGCAAAAAAACAAAAAAAACAAAAAAAACAAAAACAAAAAATAATGAACACTACTGAGCTGTCAGTGGAAATTAGCATTACCATAGTGGCTGTACATAGATAACCAAAGGGTACTGGGAAAGTGAAAGCATCTACAGTACATTAAATACTGGTACACAGTAAAATGTATGTGGAGTAAGTTCATAATTAAATGACAAAAAAAATTTGATGAACTTCATGAAATACTTGATTTTATATGATATTGCCTCAGAAATGGACTAGGGGTGCTATCTAACAGCAGTGATTAGTGAATGGAACAACATAAAATATAAAATACTGTTCATTTAAAATATCTTATATTCCAAACTCATTCCTACTAGGCTGGAGGTCAGGGAACCAGCCTTGTGACTGGAACGTCGCCGGTTCGATCCCCCCAGCTGACAGTACGTGACTGAAGTGCCCTTGAGCAAGGCACCTCACCCCCAACTGCTCCCCAGGTGCCGTGGATAGGGCTGCCCACCGCTCCGGGCAAGTGTGCTCTTTGCCCCCTAGTGTGTGTGATTACTAGTGTGTATGTGGTGTTTCACTGCACGGATGGGTCAAAATGCGGAGGTGAAATTTCCCCGTTGTGTATAAATAATAAGGGTCACTTAAATGGTAGTTGCCTATAAAAGAAGGTTTACAATATATTTTATATTTTACCATTATATATACTGGTAAAACCTTAAAATACAAGTTATGGCACCACTGAACTGTAATAAAGTTAGGACCCTATTTAGAGGACTTTTGGTTGATTGAAGTTTGGATGATTCTATAATATTCCTTGTAAGAGCTGTTGTCCAGTATTCAATCCTAACTGAAGCCGACATGGCGTCTGAACAGATAAGGTAGGATTTCAGAGCTAAGATGTGTTTGTAATAGAGCGTTTAAGTCAATGTCCACGTGAAACACATTACAATACAGTTCTTTCTGTGCACTGTAATGTGCATATGTGTTTATGCAATAAGAAATGTTACCTCCAACTCATTCTCATCAAAGATTTTGATTAAGTCGATGAGGATGAGCTCCGTGAATCCCTGCAAGACAAAAAAATATCCAATCAAGATCAGACAAATAATGGATATAAGCAGCACATTCATGTTCTGACCACCCATCACAACATTTGGGACACACTGCCACCTACTGGCAGGATGTGTAAATGTAACTGAACCGAGCAGTTTTTAAGGATGGTTCTTTACCTCCATGAAGGCATTCATCTGTTTCTGGACCCTGTTAACAAACCTCCACTGTATGACCAAGCTGCTCAAAGAGAGAAAATAAAGGAAGAGTTTTACAGCAACGCAGAAAAAGTCTTCTGTAAAGCCATTAATGACAGCTTATGAGACTGAGTGACTTACTCGATGTACTCCTTTTTGTTGTCATTGGTGACGACCAAATCCGAGCCACTTGGCTTCAGATCCACCTGGTACGTCTGAATGAAACCAGGAGAGAAAAAAAAAATGGTATGGCCAGAAATGATATGGCCAGCAGACATTGAACAGGTTTGCTTGGCCTATGATATGAATTTAGCAACAAAGTTTCAGCTGAATGGATTCAGGTAGGCTGTGGTTACCTGTCCGAAATTATCCTCATCGATACAGAACCGCAAATCCAGTTCCATTGGGTCGTTCTCCAGAATCCACTTTAGTGAGTTGTAGTATTCGCTGTCCTACAAAGACACCAAAACACATACACTACAGGTTAAAAAAGTCACTTGTCAAATTAATCAGATTTGTTATTTTATATTCTATAAAAACTCAATAATACAATGAAAATTTAAAACCTCAGAAGGTTTTTGAGATGTTTTCAGATGTTTTAAATATTTTGAGTATTCTGGGAGCAAGAAGATATGAATCGATGCACAAAATAACAGAATTAACTACTTTATTATTATTTATTTATTGAGAGTTGATTACCAAAAGACCAGGCATTATAGACTTCAACTTTACTATAACTTCATTCTTGATTTTCTACAGCTTTCTCAGACAATTAAGAGTCTTCTACAACTCTGTTCATTATTCTCAACATTTCTTTCCTTTTCTTCCAGATTCATAGTCTCCTAGTTGCACAGGACTAGCATATCAGAATCCATATATACATTTATCTGCAACTAAATGGGTTTTATTTTATTGAAATTTATTTTTATTGACTCCAAATTTCTGAACAGTGACTCTAAACCAAATAATACTGCATTTACCATCATGACTTGTGGTCAGGTTGTCATTTTTTAATATGATTTGCAATATTTCATTTTTTAAGCTCTTTCCTGTTTGAACCTATTTATGAGGAGAGACTTACCACCGACTCCATGTCATTCAATGTGATCTGCTTTCCCAGCATCATCTTGTAGAAGGGTCGGATGAAGAAACCTGGAAAACAAAACAGTAAATAAGCCTCCTAAATACAGATCCTGATCACAGACGTTTAAGATTATATCCAGACCAGCTGTCAACACCACTGTTCAAGGAAGCAATGGTTAAACTTTAGATCACTGGATTGGCCACTTGGAAATAAAGTGCAATCGTACCATCCAATAGTTTTCCGTGATAAACAGCCATGCCTGCTACCCGGCCAATGAACTTGAAGTATGAGAGATGGTCTTCATTGCAGAGGCCTGAGTTGGGGTTGATCTGAAGAGTGTAGTTATCTCTGTGGACAAAAAAGAAAAATTAATTTAAAATTACACTGCAGTGGCATTTCCAACAAATCATAGTTCTCTAATGAAACACCAACATTTACCGATTAAAACTCAAGAAAAAAAGAACAATCTTTTTTACTGTTAAAAGGTCAAAGAAGTAAAAGCTTAACTGTATGACTGAATAAAGGAAAATGAGGCAGAAGCTCCTACGGGCCAGGAGCTGTCTCTTACAAACAATTCCACTTAGTGAAGATAATTAAAGCCCAGGAACAAACAATTACCACCTAAAACCATCACTGACCAACAAACACCATCACTGTCCAAAAAACAAAACTGTACCCCCCCAGGCACCAGCTTTCTCCACCAAACACCAGCGTTCTCCACCAAACATCAGCGTTCTCCACCAAACATCAGCGTTCTCCACCAAACACCAGCGTTCTCTACCAAACACCAGCGTTCTCCACCAAACATCAGCGTTCTCCACCAAACACCAGCATTCTCCACCAAACAGTGCTCTCCAACAAAACAATGTTCTCCACCAAACACTAACACTTCCATCAAAAAAGTCATCATCCACTAATCACCATCATTCTCTATCAAGCACCATCATTCTCCAACACCATCAACATTGTTCTTCTCCACCAAAATCCATTTACAACGTTGCCAGTTCTCTTGATAATGTTCCAGTACCAAAGCCACAATCACACACAGGTAAAATACTAACATCGCATTCTAACACTTAATACGAAAACAACAGAAGTATATCATTAAAAGTGGGTACTAAAGGGTAACCTGAAGCTTGAAACTCGCACCTGAACTGTAGACAAAATGCACATTTGTTCACTTACCGAGAGCTACGGGTCAAGCCACACAACAGGAACTGACCTGATTCTGACATCACAAAATTATTGCCCACTACAAAACATTAAGTCTCAAAGAGGCCCTTTTTTACTGCTGCAGATTCAGATCACAAGCTTACTCAAGTTGAGAAATTCCTGACAGGACTCGGTCTTCTACCAAAGCAATTTATCAGCAAACATCATCTATGACACTTAAGCTTCAATGTTTACTAAGGCTGTTTAGCAACACTGAAATGCAATAAAGGCAAAATTAACTATGTATGCTTTGCTGACAAATTCATTATAACAACTGAATAGTGGCAAAAATCTCAATCAACCTAACATTTCAATTGTATTGACAGTATATATGCTAAACATGATGAGCGTCAACAAATATCTTACAGTAACGTCAGCCGTGCTATCTGCTAGCTAGAGGTGCAGGTTACAGCTTTAACTTAGCTAGCAACATTAAAGGGGAATTCCACCATTATTCCAGTCCTTGAGACATAAACTAAGATATTCAGAGTGGTTTGATGTGAAATGGTTCATTGTTCATTTCTTTACAGTGGTGGTGATAGGAACCAGGGTTCACAATGTCTATAACACAAATATAGCCATTTTATTCACTATACAAAACCAACAGTTAACCTACAGGTGTCGTCTGAGCTTTTATATGTAATGTTGATGAAATCTGAAAATAGACAACACCCGGCATGTACCCCTCCATCATGACTGGATTAAATTAAATGGATTAAAATATATTTTGAAGTCAAAACTTTATTACAAAACTATCATATAATAATGTGTCAGACATCATATATCAGCACATATCTAGCTGTTTCATGTAATAATTTTCTGTGAGGGAGCTTTCAGAGGTGGACGTCTGGTTCCTATCACCACCACTGTGAACATTTCTGACTTGGCAAGTTTATTTAGAACGGAGCATCTCATATCAAACCACTCTGAATGATTTTGTTTACATCTTAACCGTTTAATTATGTAGAATTTTTGAATACTCGGTGGAGTCCCCCTTCAACACAGCTGAAAGGGGGTGAACTTTCTGCTTAGCCTATCAGATGTTTACCTCTAAAAGCCTTAGTTGCATGAACGAAAAATTACATCTGATCTATCTAAACAGTGTCACATTTCACAGGAATATAAAATAAACCGTTTTATAAAATTATATATTAACTACAATTATATTATGTAAGCTAAAGGACATTTGCATTGGCTAGCATCACACTAAATAATGAGGGGGAGGGGATAGGACCATCCTTCCCACTCAACAAGACTGAGATCAATTAGGTTTTTCTTGAACTTCTGGAGACGTATGGCTGTGGCATCGCTGGGGATCAAACTCATAACAGTAAATATAAAATATTGGACTTATTGGTGGGGCATGGTTTGGACTGCAGGCCCTCACTGTTAGCCCACAGCAGCACATCCATGAAAAGCAGAAAACACAGGGGCATTTCTGATTGCATCTGAAGGCTGAACTGGAAATATCACCCTACATAAATTAGGAAACACTTGAACTGCAATGTGGAAAAGTGTCAAAGTGGAAGCCACAATTTACTCTCAGCAGACCTGCTTTAACCCAGCCAGCCAGCCAGCCAGGCTCAGAAAATGAGGACAAATGAGAGAAACAAAGCAGAGCAGAGAAAAAAATTGAGTGAGATGGATGAGGGAGGGAGGTGGTGGATGGAAAGAGGAGGATGGATGAAGGGAGGGAGAGAAAGTGAGAGAATCCGACAGCAGCGTGTGGCGTCTGTCTCGAGTGCTCTTACATAAAGCAGAGCATCTGAATAGCGAGAATGAAAAGTACTAGAAGAACATCAGTGATAGAGTAAAGCGTACATTATTCATCCCTCAGACGTTTCCCCCTCGGCTAACAGATGAAATACTGCTACAACTTCAAAAACGCCAGCCTAAATATAGCCCAGACAGAGGAAACTGGGTTAGCTGCAGCTGCTTTGGCCAAACTTCAGGAAGAAAATAAATGGCACAAGAAGAGCAGCCACTGAACAAGTAACATCAACATTAGACCTGTCTGGTTAGGTTAGTCCAAAGGAAAACATAGTAATGAACCACTTGAGACAGACAAAAAACTATTTTTCAAAATGTTGACTTTAATTCAATCGTTAAGATGCAAACAAAGAAATTCAGAGGGGTTTGATGTGAAACGGTCCATTCTAGAGAAACTTACTGATTTCTCTACAGTGGTGGTGATAAGAACCAGGGGCTGTATTACAGCAACTTCGTAACTCTGAAATCTCATCTTATCTTATGTCACCACGACAACCTCACTTAAGACTGAATTTAGGACAGAAGCACAAGTTCATACTCTTATCCTAACTCCAGATAAGAAAACGGAAAAGTATTAAAGAAACCTTCTATGTAGACGAATCTCTTATATTCTATCCTAACTGTAAGACAACCCCAGAGGTGTCTTAACTTCTGTTTTAACCGTGTTTTTATTGTTTTATGCAGTGACAGGCATCCCAGTTCAGTATGTCTAGCATAATGACGTTACATTTAGCCATTTATTGAAAACGGTGCTTTGACTTGTGAGGTTTTTTCTAACAGTGTCTTTAAAAGCCCCAGACGCTGCAGACACGATCTCCACCGTCTCCTCATATTACCTTCATGTGTTAATGTTGATAAACTCGTCAGATATAATATTACAATAATGAGGAGACAGAGCTGAACGTGTGTCTGTCTATTAGGAGGAATAACGTTAGCGCGCTCAGCTAAAGCATTTGGGAAACTGAAACTGAAACTGTAGAGCAGCGACGCTCTGAAAAACAGCACGAAGCGCTGACACAATATTCTTAACTTTAAATTTATCGCACTTTAGTTTTGTTTGACCTTTTTTACGTCAGTAACAACTGCTAGCTGGCTGTCTGGCTAACTAACTTGAACATCTTGATTACATGTTTATGTTTCAGCTCTGCGCGTATGGACGGTTGCTACATAACAAACATGACAGTTGATTGTCGACTTCGACCGAGCAGGTTAAGATTTCCTAACTTGAGATAAGATCAGATGCTGTAAGATAAGATTCCTAAATTAAGATAAGATTTGCTTCTTTAATACAAATTTGTGGAAAATCTTGACCTGCCAGATCTTAAGACAAAAAGATAGGAGGTTTCTGTAATACGGCCCCAGGTCTACAGCACAATAGCAATTTTGTTTACTATCCAAAATGACCAGGAAACCTGCACAGGAGTTTTAA